ACTTATACATATATTGTTATGTAGAAGTTATAGGCTAGATAGGGTATGTTCTTAGTGGGTACAACCCAAACGCTATATCTCCCATGCTCTCCATTCTTCTAATCATTCTTTCTAGTCTTAACAAGGACCACCTATATGAGCAAGAACAAGGCATGAACGAAAGAGCAAGAGCTAGGTGCAGTACAGGCCTCTGGATAGGATTTGGAGTAGTCTTTCATGTAAGGGTATGAACCCACGACCACTTTTTCTGCAAGGGTGTTTTTTTTTTTTTTTTTTTTTTTTTTTTTTACTTTGGTTTATAAGGGTGCTAAAAAAAACTACTTTTCCACATCAAGGTGTACAAACGCCATACTCATTCTTACCTGGATAAGTTTGCTTTGCATTATAGATGTTCACATTGCAAAGCATAGTGCGCTAATCCTATACCATGCCAAATACTACTTCTGCTGCTTCTGCTACTACTGCTGGTGTTGCTAGTGCTGGTGATGCCACTGCTACTGCTGGTGAATCGTGATGCTGCTACTGCTGCAATTGCTGTTGCTGCTGCTGGAGAGGAGACCCTCTGCTCCCGATGCTTTTAGCCCGCCATGTCAAACTGGGTAGCAGGGCGGCGGTCCTTGATTTTTCAGAAAATCTCAACCATCTTCAGCCACTCCATGTCGCACTGCACGAGGGCCACTGTCATAGGGTCCTCGAGCTTCCCATCGCCCAAGCAGCTGCGCGTCCACGACTTGATGCGATTTTGGCGGCTGAAGCCCCTCTCGCACTCAACCGTGCTGAGGGGCAGCACGGCGACCGCCTGCCAAAGCCGCACAATGTGTGGGTATGCTCACTCGTAGTCTGTGCTGTCCAGCATGAGCTTCAGGGACTTGTGAAAGCCAAGATTCGCGTGGTTGGTGTTCATCGTGTGGAGGAAGAGATGCAGCCCTGATGTGCAGGTCTTGGAGTTGACCCCTGAGAACTCAGATGGGGGAAATGGGTGGGATATATGGGCGGAAGGGGGGGAGGAGGAGGGGAGAGCGAACGCAATGCGGGAGGAGTTTAGGGCGTGCAAGGCAGCAACAATGTGACAGCGAAGGAGGTTTACCATGCAGGCGCAATAAGATTTGAAGCATAAAACACTTACCAAGAAGCTTAAAATGGAAAAGCTTATCTAGCAGTGCCAACCACTCCCTGGCCTTCTTCATCAATGATGCCCAATCCTCGGGGTATACAAGCAGCCGAAACAACTTTGCGCCGTTAAGATCTTGCAGGTTGTCGAGCCTGTGCTCCAGCCGTGCCTTTGCCTCCGCCGCATACTCCCTGCACAGCTTCACGCAAGACGGGTAGTCCCCCTTGCCTTTCTGTCCTTCCCATGGCTCCTTGCTGAGCGTGAAGGTATGCACAGTCGGAGCGTCTTCTTTGTCGACACCTTCGACTGTCACCTCTCGAAACTGGGGGTTGGCATGCTCCTTCAAGAAATTCTTCAGAAGCGGTGAGTCCCTGCCGAAAGCGTTTTCGTAGTCGATGTAGCGGACGTCAATTTTCCTGCACACCAGGTTAACCTCGCCAGCGACCAGTGTAATGTCCACCTGAGGTCGGGCGTAAAGCAGAGAAAGAACAAGAATCAGGACCTGCGGTTAAACAAACACAAGGTCACTGCCGTCAGAAACCTCACCTGCTTCTTCTGAAACTTCGCGTTGAGGTCGTTGAGGACCTTGAGCAAATCTGCCAGGAAGTACACAAGGAAGTGAAACTTGAAACTCTTTACAAGTCCGTAGAGCTCGTGCTGATACTCGTGCAGAAGCACAACTACAGCCGGCAGCAGCTGCGCGAACCACTTCACCGCGCTCCCCCGTGAAAGCCAGCGGACGTCATAGATTCCTTGGAGCTCCAGATTCGTGTCACACAGCTCTTCCTGCAGCTTCTTGAAGCGCCTGTGCCATATCCCGCTCATTGACAGCACTTCAGAGACGGTTCTGATGACATGGCCGATGATGGAGAAGTCTCTAACCTTCCCCGCCGCGTCTTTGGCTGCCAGAGACTCACTGGCAGAGAGGGGGGGAGGGAACACACAGACACACACCAGGTGTGAGACAGTAGAACGTAACATTGCATGCGACTTGGGAACTAACAACCAAAAGACAACCAGTCAAACAACAAACACCGGCGTCAACTCACCGATGGGCGATGCAGTGGCATGACACTAGGTGCCGAATCTTAACACGCAACCGTGCGACGACGCCCTTGTGCTCGCCTACCATGACAGACGCGCCGTCCGTACTTATCCCGACGATCTTCTCCATGTCGATGCCGACCGATCGCATGTAAGTCTCCAGAACTTCAGTGAGGCTTGCTGCATCACATTTTTGCACGGTGAGGAGCGTCAGGAACTCGGTACGCACATGGCCATCCTTGATGTAAGTCACATATACTATCAAATGCTTCCCTCTAACACGGTCCGTGCTCTCGTCAATAGCGATGCCGAGATAAGGGCTGTTGGCGATGTTCTTCAGCTGCTCTTCTCGTAGGTACTTCGATGCGGCCTCGACCAACTCGTTGAATCCGTATCTGCCAAGCATAAGCACGATGAAACAAGAGTAATCAAAGATGTTGCATCTCATAAACACCAATATGCTCGCTCGGTACTTGGAAAAAAGCGCACTAAGATCGAAAATACAAGGCCCGGTGAATCCGAATTCGAAGTTACTCACTCTGAAAAGTAGGCGCCCTTTTGATCCAGAGGGAGATTGGGCGTCTGCACTAAAGCCATGAACTTCATGAAGCCGATGTAGGATGTTATCGGTGCCTTTGATTGGCACGTGTACACCGCTGTCTTCATGGCGGTGATGAGATGCAGCGTGCTCTTGTCGAGCCCCTCGTACTCGTTTAGGAGAGTTTGCCGCAACATCCTCAACTGCTTTGCCTTCATCAGACGGTAGGCGCCGCGGTGGGCGTTGGAGCGCTGGTGAGTCTGGATGCTGTTCTTCTGCATGTCACGCCCGCCGCATCCGTCCTTGCCATACTTGGTGTCCGCTCCTGAAACTCCGTGCTCGAGGCAAGTGCTGCAGCGCAATACAGGGAAACCATCGTCAGCACGGTCGAGGACAAGCCAAGGGAACAAACTCTCCAAAGCAGACTTAAAACGTCGGTGCGTTTTTGCAAAAGCAGCCTATGGATCTTTGAAACTCTCTAGGTCGCCGGGTTCATGATCCTCATCATCATCGACGCCGGCGACATCGTCGGGTTCCTCAACAGGCGCTTTGTCAATTGACCGAGCGAAGGGAAGACGCTGCTGCAGCCACTTCTGCTGCTGGCTGCTTGCTTTCCGCTTCGCGGAAGACGACGTCAAGCCCACATCAGTTGGGGATGGGGCAGGAGAACCCCCAGAGGCGGAAACCGGTAGAGCAGCGGGAGATGGGGGTGTACGCTCAGGGACATCCGCTATGGGTTCGGTCAGAGGAGGTAACCCAACGCAAGGGGAGGTGGGAGGTGGGCACGGCTGAGCGACTGTGATTGGTGCGCGACGGAGGAAACTAAGGGCTGATCGCGGAGGGGATAGCGGGCGTTTCCGCCCACCATCCTCCTCCTCATCGCCGTCGTCGGGGTCCATGGCTGTCGTCGAGGCGAGAGGAATATGGGAAGCGGGTGAGAGATACAAACAGAGAGCAGATTGTAACTCGGTGCTCTCAAGAACAGCTTGAAATAAACAGTTCAACAAGAAGTGGTACCCCGAACAGAGGAGAAAGGGATCGACAGCTGTGCCCCTTTCTTTGCACCAATCAGGTCGTTTGCCTGCAGAACAGGTCACCGCAGGACCATTTGCTGCCGCGCTGTCCATGCGCGCTGCGACCCCTGACGCTGATTGGTTTGTCTTTAACTCGTCGACGCGCGCCAGGACAGAGCAGTAATGGCGCTGATTGCGGCGTGACTCGGGGGAAAAATCTTGCCCCCAAACGGGGGTCCTGGATGTAGAATCACATCAGGGTATTTCGTTAAGGCATTTTTTCGCATCAGGGTGCTAACGCTACACCACTTTTCAAAATCAAGGTCCGGTACAAACTTAGTTTTTTTCATAAGGGTCCAAAACTAAACCACTTTTAAATATAAGGGTCCAACACCAACCCCAGCCTTATAGTAAGAGCCATAAGGGTATTTTATCCTGATATCCTGAGGCCTGGTGTAGTACATCAAGAGGGAAGGACGAGCAAAAACATGGAGCACCAACAAACCCTAGCAGGGGTGTATTCGCTCTGCCCCAGAAAGCTAACCAAGTACAGTTCAGCACAGTTACTCGCTGTGCCATTCTCCACTTTTGACAGGTCAGCACAGCTACTATTGCAATACAGCAATACAACACTTGTAAAACTACATTATTGTTATAGTTTGTATTGTTACTTGTTTAAAATATATTCCCTTACAAAATCACTTTTCTAGTATTGAATCACAAAATTTGTAGTGCACAGTCCCGTTGAAAAGAAAAAAATTGGGAGGGAAATGCGAATTTAAATTGTGTGAAAATGAAAAAAATGTGGACATACGCAACCCATCCAACGATTTACGTAGAGCCTTGTTTACTGGCTCCTTTCCATCACCTTCCTTGTTTTTAACACCACTGGATGTGTGCGTTATTTAATTTCCATGGGTTGTCCAACCAGGAGGCAATGTCTTATACATTTTTGTTTCTTTGATTTTCTCATACGGAATTGGAACACCTGAATTCGTTTGAACTCTCGCTAGTATAATCTTCCCAGCAGTCACATTTTTCTGGATTTTGAATGCCTGTTGGCTGGGGACTTTCTGACCAAAAGCCTGACGACCACTCGTTGCTGTCTCCGCCCAAGCAGCCTCTTGCAGCCTCGCTCCGCAACTCCCTCCTTCGCGGGCGCACTTCCCCCTTTCCGCCTCTCCGCTCCGCTCCCTCATCCACTTCCTCTCCCCTTTCGCCCTACCTCATCCTCCCGCTTCGCCTCTTCTCTTAGGGTGGCAGTGACTCGCGATTTCAATCCTCTGCTTGTGGGAGCAGAAGCGGATAAAAAGCTAGGGTTACCAAATCCCACATTTTCAGCCTCTTTTCCTTTCTTCCTCCTATTACACTTCTCACCATGGCCATGCCCCGTATCCAATGACATCTCGTCCTAGTCGCAATATGGACTGTTAGCGTTCTGTTTGCTCCGAGCTCTTATATTCTTCTGTCCGCTTAGAGATTTCTCCGTTTCGACCTTTTCGTGCTTGCGGTTACGAGAAGCCAGGGAAAGTTGAGTTGGCCGCTAAGCTCGCTCCTGCGGTTCTGGGCTGCTTCTTTTAGGTAATTCACTCCGTCATTTACATGGTACTTTCGCGATCGATAGCTAACGTGCATCGGCCAATTTTGAGAACTATTCGTTTCGCTGCTACCGCCTGTGCAGCAGTTAGAATCACGAAGTCCGATTTGCTCCTTTAGTGGTCTCCATTAGGCATCCTATATCTTATCGCTTCGGTATGCGGGTCCGTTGGGTTTAGCTTCAGCAGGGAGTTTGTCATGAGCACGGCTGTATGCAACGACTGCAACGATTCAAAGTAGCCAGAAACCAGATCTTTGGCGAAAACCGCTTAACGTTAGTCTCTGTTGATAGTAGTTTGGAGATTCGATCGCGGCTGTTTTAATCGAGCGAATACGACAGGCTAGTAAGGGTTTCCACAGGTCAGCGAATCGAACACTTTCGATTCTGATTGGTTGGTGACTAACTTCTGTTGTCTGATTGTTAGTGGTTGGTGGGTGTGTTCAGGCAAGCTGGATCTGTGAAGAGAGCGAAATGCCCGGTAGATGTTCAACGTTGATCCGACAATGTACTACCCTTATAGACAAGATGGCTCCGTCAAAGAGGTTTGTCCCTGCACCCTATCCTCTACATCTCGATCACTTTCGCTTCCTACGCGTCCTAATACGATTAATCCGGCGGTTAGAAGTTTTGTTCTTTCGAGCGGAGTTCTGTTACCTCGCCGTCCTTGCGATTTTCCAGCAGAGCATTGGCTGAAAAACCTGTCCCGTCGCTTCCACTGCTTTGCGATCGTCTTTCCGTGGCTTTGCGGCTTTGCGGCTGTGCAGCAGTCGATGCTTAACACATCAACACCGGCCGTGCTTGATTCGGGAAACTCAAGTCGTCAGTTCGCGTCATCGTTCGCAGCGCCACAGACACAAGCGGCAAATCCAGGAGCGTTCCACCACGGAGGTAAGCTAAGCTGTCGTCGACCCGTCTGGTCGACGCGTTCTTTCTTTCCGTGGTGTTGTAGTATTTCCTTGGTTCCGCTTTCCTGGCTTCGTGGCCCTGGGGATTGCGAATGCATCGGGTTTAGCATTTCGTTCGCCTCCTCCGCTGTTTCTCGTTCTTTCGTCCTTTTTGGTGTTTGTTTTTGCGTTTTCCCGTCATGTGGTAACTTGCAGTCGCTGCACACTGTTCAGGCGACTGGGTACAGCGTACAGGGTATGCAGAACTCTCTTCTGTCGTTCTCCCTTGTTCTTCCCTCATCAGGTAACTTGCAATCGCTGCACAATGTCCAGGCGACGGGGTACAGCATACAGAGTATGCAGAACGCGCTCACGAGAAGCACGGGAATGGGCGGCATGCCAACCGCGCAGGCGCAGCCCCCCTCCGCAGCCAACATGGGGGCAGGCCGTTTCGGCAGCAGCGCGCTCCCCGCCAACCTGCAGCAGGTGAGAGGGGGAGGCGAGGGGAGGGGCGCGGGGTGGGTGGGGAGGATTGGTCTTGGCGCGCTGTTGCCATTTAAACCTACCTAAGAGACGCCAACCAACACAACATCGCGGCAGGCCGTTTCGGCACCAGCGCGCTCCCTGCCAACCTGCAGCAGGTGAGAGGGGGAGGGAAGAAGAGGGAGGGGAGGGGGTGGAGGAAGAGGGGGTTGGGTGTGGGGGGAGTTAACTGACGGCAACTAATATGGCGGCTGGCCGTTTCGGCACCAGCACGCTCCCTGCCGACGCAGCATGTCAGAGAAGGGCGGGGGGGAGGAGGGAGACGGGGGGGGGGAGGGAGGGAGGGGGGAGAAGAGATCTTTACGTGGCGTTGCAGTCTCTTGATTCGGGCTTCAAGAAGCGCCAGCCAACACGGCGGCAGGTGAGGCGAGGGTGGTTGGCGTCCCTTACCTGGGTATCGTGTTTCTCTCGCTGCCTCTCTCTCTCTCTCTCCCCCCCCACCCCCCCCCCCCCTCGCTGTTTCTCTTCCTCCCGTTCTCTTTCCTGTTTCTCCCGCTTCTCTTCGAGACGGAACTCTCGCGTTCCCTGTCCATTCGCAACCTTAACGCTCCTCTCACCCGTTCTCCCCACCGCCAACCCTCCAAAACCAACACCACCACCACCACCACCACCACCACCGCCGCAGCAGCAGCAGCAGATCCCAGGGCTGCACACGCACACAGGCGCGGTGACCACCCGCGGGGGGAGCGCAGTGAGCCTAGTGGGCGGCCACCCCTTCGGCAGCGGCATGAGCGGACTATCCGGCGGAGCAGGCGCGCCTGGGGTAGCCTCAGCAGGTGGAGGGATAAGCGGAATGAGCGGGATGAGCGGGATGAGCGGGATGAGCGGGATGAGCGGGATGAGCGGGATGAACGCGAATGTGCCTGGGCAGAGAACCATTGGCTCCACTGGCGGTCTAGGGGGAAACCCGTCGCAGATAGCAGGGTCCGCGGGAAGATTAGGCGCGCCTGGGACGCTTGGCATGGCCGGGGCGGGCGGAGGGATGGGGCTTTCCGCGGGGGCAGGAGCGGGAGGGGGCACGAGTACGGGGCTGACGCGGGCGATGAATCCCGCAGGCGCGCTAGGCATGTCGACGGTAGGGGGAACGCGCGCGCTGGGATCTGTAGGGTTGGGCGGAACGCTTGGGGGGAGCGCAGGCGCGGTGGGAGTGCAGGGGCCTGGGCGGCCGCTGGGGGCAGGAATGATTCCTGGGCAGGGGCAGGCGCAGGGGCAACAGCAGCAGCAGCAGGCACAGCAGCAGGCGCAGCAGCAGTCGCAGCAGCAGGCGCAGATGTTGGCGCTAGGGATGCAATCGCAGGGTCAACACCATCAGCAACAGCAGCAGCAGCAGCAGCTTTCAGCAGGGCAGCAGCAGCAGCAGCAAGGGCAGGGGGGGCAGCAAGGGTTGCAGGCAGGGTCATACCAGCCGTCAGGAGACGTGATGGCTATGATCAACCGCGGTGAGTGCGAGGGCGTTTGGGCTGTTGTTTTTTGGAGTCGTTTTGAACGGGCTTCAAATACACCTGTCAACGCCATAACTAGTCGTCTCAGGAGGCTTGATAGCTGTGCTCAAGCGCAGTGAGGTTGCGGTTGTACAGTTAAACGGTACATGGCATCGCCAACCCTCTATGTATGCTAACTGCTTGCCGTTGCCTGCCTGCTTCTCTCCTCTCTCTCTGATGCGCAGCTGGTACGCCTGCGGGCATGCTCGCCAGCAACAGCTACCTGCAGACTCAGCAGCAGCAGCAGCAGCTGTTGCAGCAGCAGCCGAAGCAAATGTCAGCAGTTAACGGGCAGCTAGGCCCGACCTCGTTGCTCCTTGATCCGCAGCAACACATGCACATGCAGCAGCAGCAGCAGCAGCAGCAGGGGGGAGGGCCGGTGTTGCTACAAAAGCAAGGGCAGGGGCAGGGAGAGAGCAAACGGGAGGGGTTGAAGGGAGAGGGCGAGCAGGGGGAGGAGTCAAGGCAGGGGAACCAGGGAGGGCAGGATCAGGAGCAGCAGACAGGGAGGGGGGAGCAGCGAGAGGGGGATGGAGTTGCGTTTGACATGAGTGATTTCCCTACTCTCAACACGCGGCCGGCTGGGAACGCTGCCATGGCATCAGGTCAGTAGAGCCTGCTTTTGAGGCGCCTCGAAAGCGAGTAGTGAGAGGGCGGCATGAGTGAGTTTCCTGCTACAAACACGATGCCGGCTGGAAACGCGGCCCCCCAAAATCTCTCATGCATGTATTCCTTAACCCTCTCCCGTACGCTCCTTAAACCCCTCAGGCGTAGGGTCGGCAGCAGCAGCAGTGTTGCGCAAGGGAGCGCCGTTGAACGCGCTGCTGCACCAGGGGGGCCCGGAATTCAGCATACAGAACGAGGACTTTCCTGCATTGCCTGGCCAAAAAGGTGTGTGGGGGTATGAATGTGTGTGGCTAGGTTCAAAGGTGTGTGTGTGTGTGGGTCCTAGCGGATGCCTGTTGTGATTGTGTGTGGGAGATATGAAGGAACGCGCTGCTGCACCAGGGGGGGGCGGAATTCAGCATACAGAACGAGGACTTTCCTACATTGCCCGGCCAAAAAGGTGTGTGCTTGCGTTTGAAGGTGTGTGCTTGTGTTTGAAGGTGTGTGCTTGTGTTTGAAGGTGTGTGCCTGTTTCAACGATATGCTTCGCCCTCCTCGTCGCTTCACTCTTTCTTTGCGCCTGGGATTGTCCTTACTTCTGACTGCTGCAGCTGGAGGGGACAACGGAGGGGACAAGGACAGTTCCGCTCAGCAGCAGCAGGGCGGGGGAGGGTCGATCAGAAGCCACCTGGACATGCTTCAGCAGCAGCAGCAGCAGCTGCAGCACCTCAGCTTGCACGACAACCCCCACCTCCACCAGTACCACCAGCACCAGCAGCAGCAGCACCAGCAGCAGCAGCAGGGGCAGCAGGGGGGGCATCTGAAGCACCTAGATCCGCGCATGCTCTCGTCCCCACCGCCCCTCAACGCGCCAGGTGCGCCCACCAGCTCCATGCTTCTCCTGCAACGCTCTGCTAGTCCTAGCCCCTCCCTCCAGCAGCAGCAGCAGGAGCAGGCGCGGGCAGCAGAGGGGTCAGGTTTGCGGCACACAGGAGGGTCTGGAAGCGTGCTACAGGGGCAACATCAGCAGCAGCAGCAGCAGGGAGGGGTGGGGGGGTTGAAACCTGGCGACCAGCTAGGCTCAGCGCCTGGGTCTCGATCTAACACTCCCGGCCCCATGCCCCCCCAGCAGCAGCAGGTGGGCGGCGGGCAGGTGGGAGCAGCGAAGGAGCAGGGTATAGGAGGGCCGGATCGATACGGGCTGCTGGGGCTGCTGAGTGTGATTCGGATGAGCGATCCAGATTTGACCACGCTGGCGCTGGGCACCGATCTGACGACTCTCGGGCTGAATCTGAACTCGCGGGAGAATCTGTACCGCACGTTTGCATCGCCGTGGGCGGATGGGCCGACTAGAGCGGAGCCGGAGTTCAGCCTACCCGCTTGCTACATCCAGCCCACACCTCGTCTGCAGGTGTGTGCTTGCTGGTCATGCTTTTTAGGCGCCTCTCCACCTCGTCTGCAGGTCTGTCAGTGCTGCTGGTTCTTAAAACAGATCCGTCAGTGGTGGTTCCGTTTGCTGCATCAAGCCGATGCACTGCGAATTTTTCCACTTTCTTCCACGCCACACTGCTTGCCGTCCTCATCCCCTTCCCCCGCTTCTCCCCCTCCTCCTCCCCCCCCCCCCCCCCCCCCCCCACGTCTCCCACCACCCTCTCTGCTCTCCGTTCGCCCACACGCTCTTCTCCTCTGTTCCGTTTCTGTGTGTCGGCGTCTGTCTGCAGCCCGGGTACTTCTCCAAGTTCCAGCAGGACACGCTCTTCTATATATTCTACAGGTGAGCGTTGACGCTTTGGGGGTTTGAGGTTTGGAGGTTTTGAGGCTCCTGGAAGCTAGAATCCAGCCGGCCCACGCTCTGCGATATATGCTACAGGCGAGCCTTGACGTTTTGAGGTTTTGAGGCTCGCGAAAACTAGAAATTCGCAAGACACAGTGTCGTATATATTCTGCACTGAGTTAGGTTTTTGAGAATTCTAAAAAACCTGTTTTATATATTCTACAGGTCTGCCCTTTCCCATTCCTTGTGCTTCCTCGCCTGTTGCCTGTTTCTCCCCCCCACTCCCTTTCCTCCCTGGTGCGAATGGGGGGCTGCAATGCCGCCCTCTGATGTGTCGGTCGGCGGTGCGCTTTTCTAAATCTACCCACTCACTCCCTTTGCCCAGTTTATAGCCAGCCGGCGCAGGGCTGCCATTCCTTTCTTCCTCTGATCAGTGCAGCTCTGCCCTACCTGCTAGCTCTGTCCTAGGTGCTAGCTGTGCCCTAGCTGCTAGCTCCACCGTCCCTTCTCATCTGTTTTCTGCCTGTTCGTGCCTGCTGCCCTGTCTGTCTGTCCCTGTCTTCCGTTGTGTGTCTCCTGCCCTTCCCCCCCAACAGCATGCCCCATGACGAGGCACAGTTGTTTTCTGCTGACGAACTGTGAGTTTGCAAGCCACATTTTCACACTACATTGCACCTCTTCGCCTGATGCACACATATACGACATTGCACTACCCTACACATTCTCTTGCTTGCTCTCTCACACTCACACTCCCCTCCTCGCGCCCTCCTGCACTCATCTCCTGGCGCACTCTCGCTCACACGCTGACCTCTGACCGACCGTGTGCTGAGTGCTCAACTATCACTCTCTCTCCTTCCCAATTTCCCTTGAGAGCAGTTGCAACCGCGGGTGGTTCTACCACAAGGAGCACCAGGTGTGGTTCACCCGCGTGCCCAACAGCGAGCCCGTGGTGAAGACCCCCACGTACGAGCGCGGCTCCTACTACTTCTTCGACCCCACCGTGTGGGAGACGGGCCGGAAGGTGAGAGGGAGAGGCAGAGGGGAAGGAAGGCAGGGAGGAAGTTGAGTGTGAGAGTCAGGGGTAAGGGAGACGGAGGAATTCATTCTCATGCCCAACAGCTAGCCGGTGGTGAAGACCCCCACATGAGCGCGGCCCCACTGTGTGGGAGCCAGGCAGGAAGGTGAGAGGGAGTGACAGGCACGGAGGTGAGAGTGGGAGGGAGGGAAGGAGGGAGGCAGGCGAGTGTGGGATGCATGGGGGAAGGTGTTTCGCCCTTGGTTCTTGTGACCTCATAGTCGCCTGTACGAGTGTGAGGGGCAGGCAGGAAGTGTGGCCCTTTGTTTGGTGCATGGCAGCAGCCGTTTGGCTGCCCTTGGGGCAACGTTGTGCTGCAGCGCGAGATGCTCGAGGCAACCAGCTGCCCATCCATTTCAGCCATTGCCTCCTCTATTCCCCCTCCCCCCCCCCTCCCCCCACCCCCTCCTCCAGGACAACTTTGTGCTGCAGTACGAGATGCTAGAGGCCCCACCTCCAGCTGCGGATCTCTGCAAAGCAATCGCATCTTTTGTGCAACACTGCGCCTTTTCAGCCTTTTTTCGCCTCTCTTTCCACCTCTTCCTCCCCCACACCCCCCTCCCCCAGGATAACTTTGTGCTACAGTACGAGATGCTAGAGGCCCGGCCCCAGCTGCCCATCCCCCCCCAGCGATAGTGCAGCTGCTGACCTCGGGCAGGCGGGCAGGGAGCAAAAGTTTCGATGGAGATGGCACAGGAGGAGAGGGTGGATGAGAGGAAGGTGCCGTGAATATGGGGACTGCAAGGTGAAGGCTGGTTACGGAATCGCTATTGATAGAAAAGAATTAATAATTGGGAATTGGGAGGATTGGATTGGAATGTGGATAGAAAGAATGAAGGGAGCGGAGGGGAGCGGGGGGGGGGGGGAGTGTGGTTCGGAACGTAAAGTGGTGGATCATTCGGTGGAGGTAAGGAGAGGAGGAAGAGAGGGATAGGAAAGGGGAGTCAAGGAAAGCAAGAGATGCACGATGCATCATCTCCTCATCGATAGTCACTAATCGCTGCTGCCTGATTTCGGTTCTTGCTATAATGCTCACCCTTGTTGAGAATCAGAGGGTTGTGATCAGACCCCTCTGATATCTCTCACTTGCTTTCTTCAGAACGTGTAGGCACCTTTCAGCCGCATGAAGGCTCATTTTCTCTATTGAAATTAGAGGTTCCTTCTTGAAGAAATTCAGAGTATAGTTATATGTGGAGCAGCAATTATATCTTTCACTGCACCCATCAAACATCCTATTTCTATTATTCTCGTATCGGAGTCGGGAAATCCGCCAGTTTTGAAACCAGTTCAGAAATGACGTGCGCGTATGCAAACCCGCAGGAAGGGTTTCAGAAAATGCCCCCGAAATTGCTCGATAATTTCTCAGTGCATACCAGCGATCAACCTCGAAGCGAGGGCACGAAACACGCCCTACATGGCACTTCCACTGTGTGCTTTCACCAGTCTAGTGTGCTCCTTTCTAGCACCTACAACAGCACTCTTTGCCGCTCATACTGCCGCCGAGCTCCTTTTCCCCGCCGCCATCAGCGCTTCGCGCGCTTGCTTCCTCCGTAGCCATGGCAGCTTCCGCGAAGCTTGCCGCGTTTCACGCGACGTCGTCGCCGTGTCTCCATTACAGCACCGCTGGCGTGGAGGATTCTCATTTATCCGCCTCGCTCGCCTCTTCCGCTTCGTCCGCTTTCGCTACAGGCCCGTTGTTCCGCCGCATCGCTCCCCCCCACGTCGCTTCCTACTCATTCCGCCGATCCGCTCTCCGCCCCCCCGCCTATTCCGCCCGCGCGGAGAGTAGAACAGATAGGAGAGGCGAGAGAAGAGGCGAGAGAAGGGGAGAGGCGAGAGGAGATGATAGCAGGGCGAGCATGATTGCAAGAACTGGCAGGGAAGCAAGGGGGGGGGGGGCGGAGGAGCAGCAACTTGACGACGATGACACGAGGCAGGGGCAACGCGAGAGCCCGCGGTCAGAGGCGCACGGGAGGGCTCCCAAGGGAGTGGCAGTCACGAGACGGCAAGTGCTGGCGTCTGCTGCCGCCGCGGCTGCTGCAGGGGGGATAGCTGACCGGGCAGCAGCAGCAGGGTTACTGGTTCCTGGAGGGGGGAGAGGGAGGGGAGGAGGGGATGGGTTCGGGTTTGTCGAGGGGGAGGAGAGCGGGGGAGTGGGGGGGAAGGGGAGGGGGGGAGCGGGGACGAGTGTGGGGTCGGCGCTGGATAGCTTATCGGAGCGCGTGTGCACATTCACGCTTGCGAACGGCATGCGTTGGATTGTAGTGGAGCGGCGGGCGGCGCCGATTGTCTCATGCCACACGTATGCGGACGTGGGGGCGGCGGACGAGGCGGATGGGAGCACTGGGGTGGCGCATCTGTTGGAGCATCTGGCGTTTAAGGGCACGCCCGTTATAGGAACGAGGGATGCTCAGAAGGAGGCTCGGCTGCTGGAGCTTGTAGACGAAGGTGCGTGTAGGGACGCTCGTATGCATACATATATGTATATATATATCTATATATATAAAGCAGAAGTAGATGAACGAAATTGGCTGAACCTGACGAGCCTGAGGTGAATCACCACCACTCGAGCAAAGCATCGTGTGTGAACCTGGGCTTGTGCTGCCTCACCACTCTTTACCACATCCCGAGTCCCCGCCTTGCAACCTGCAGTACCCCCACCCCCTAAACCCCAAACCCTCACCACTCTTTACCACATCCCGAGTCCCGCCTTGCAACCTTCCCCCCCATCCTCTCCACCGCCTCCCACCCTGCATTACCTCCACCCCCCCCTCCCCCTCCCTCTCCCCGTTCTCATCCCTCCCTGTCTGCCTCCCTCTGAAGCGTTCTGCGAGCTGAAGGGCGCCAGGGAGGGCGGAGCAGCTGAGGGCACAGTCAAGAGACTGGAGGACGTTCCACCGCTTTTCTCTGCTTCATACCACTTTTCACCACTTTTCACCGCTTTCCACCCTGCAATACCCCTCGCCGTTTCCATCCCCTTTCTCTCTGCAGCGTTCTACGAGCTAAAGGAGGCCAGGGAGGGCGCAGCAACAGAGGGCACAGTCAAGCGACTGGAGGATGACTTCGTGAGTTGCTGTTCTCGTGAGATTTGAGACGTTTCTTCTCGTTGTCCCTTTTTAAGCATTTTTCTTTTCTTTTCTTTCACATATTCCTCCTCTTTCAGCAGTGGTTGGTTGGTACGTAGGTGATTTTTGAGTCGACTCAACAGTCACCAGTGGTTGGTGGTACTTCTCTCTGTGGTTTGACCACTGGCCCACTGTTCTCGTGACTCTTGCTCTCCCGGCTTTCCTCGGGGTCATGTTCGTGTTTGTGTTTCTTGTGTTGGTTGCTCTTGTCTTCAAAATTCGTTACAAGGCAATTCCTCTCCTTCACATGAATGCGCACTCTCCACCTGCAGGCAGGCTCGTCTGCAGCAGCAGGCAGGCAGCATTGCAGCCCGTGCCAAACGGCCCTAGAAAAAAACTTATCACCCTCACATGAATTCACACCACACCACCAACTCAACTCACCCATCTCCCCCCCCCTCTCCCCCCCTCTTCTCGTCCCTCCCCCACCTTTTCTCCCCCCCTCTCAGGCTCGTCTGCAGCAGCAGGCAGAAAAGCTGTCCATTCCAAACGCCCCTCTGATTTGTGTACGCCCCTCCCCATCAGCACACCCACCCCCCCTCCCCCCCCCCTCCCTCCCCTCCCATGCATGCACCCCACCTCTCAGGCTCGCCTGCAGCAGCAGGCAGCCGAGCTGTCCGTTCCAAACGCCTTCGGCGCTCTGGTGTCCCGAGAGGGGGGTGTGGGGCTCAATGCCACTACCAGCCAGGACTCAACACGTGAGTGCAAGGGAGGGAGAGGGATGGGGAATGGGGGGGGAGAAGGGGAGGAGGGGGGTGTGTGAGGCACCTTTTGTGTCACTGAAGGAGGAGGGGGGGGGGGGGGGGGGATTGTGGGGCTCAATGCCACTACCAGCCAGGACTCAACACGTGAGTGCAGGGGAGGGAGAGGGATGGGGAATGGGGGGGGGAAGGGGAGGAGGGGGGTGTGTGAAGCACCTTTTGTGTCACTGAAGGAGGGGGGGGGGGGGGGGGGGGGGGATTGTGGGGCTCAATGAGACTACCAGCCAGGACTCAACACGTGAGTGCAGGGGTGGTTATCTGGGTTGAAGTGGGGGGCGGTGGGGAGGGGAGTGAGCGAGAATGGCTTCCTCTCCCTCTTTCTTATCCTTTGCGCCCTGCTCGGCGACCCTGTTTGTTCTCCCCTTTGGTCTCACCTCTTCTACCCATGCCACTTGGGCTCTCTACCTTTTAGACAAGCTGTACTTGTGCTGCCTCTCCTCTCCTCTCCTCTCCTCTCCTCTCCTCTCCTCTCCTCTCCTCTTTTCTCCTCTCCTCTCCTCTCCTCTCCTCTCCCCTCCCCTTCCCTCTCCTCTCCTCTCCTCTTTTCTCCTCTCCTCTCCTCTTTTCTCCTCTCCTCTCCTCTCTTCCTCCGTATCCTCCCCACTCCGCTCTCCCACCTACCCCTCCCCACATTCCCCGTACCTCCTATCCTCAGAGTACTTCGTCGCTCTGCCCGCCAACAAGCTCGAGCTCTGGATGGCGCTGGAGAGCGGGCGGTTCCTTGCACTTGTCTTCTCCTCACTACTTTCCTTTCCCTATCATGTGTACCCCCCTGCCCTATCCCCTCCCTCAGAGTACTTCGTCTCTCTGCCCGCCAACAAGCTCGAGCTCTGGATGGCGCTGGAGAGCGGCCGTTTCTTGGCACCCGTGTTCCGAGAGCTGTATAGTGAGAAGGAGGTGAGGGTGAGGGGGAGGTGAGGGGGAGGTGAGGGGGAGGTGAGGGGGAGGTGAGGGGGAGGTGAGGGGGGGGGGGTGAGAGGGAGGTGAGACGGAGGGTAGACGGAGGTGAGAGAGGGCGGTGAGACGGAGGGGAGAGGGAGGGGGGGGGAGAGGTGAGGACGAGGTGAAGGGGGGTTGAGGGGGAGGTGAGGAAAGGCTTTCATATTCCTTGCTCGTGGCACATTCTGTGGAACATCCTTTTGTGACTTTTGGGTCGACTCAAAAGTCACATTCTGTGGAACATCCTTTTCAGTGCGCACGTGCGGCGTGCCTCTGGTCACCCTTGTACCCATCTCAACCCAGCACATCACGCCACACCACGCGTCCCACCCACCACAATATTGCACCCATCAGGTGGTGAGGGAGGAGCGGCGGCTGCGCATTGACAACACGCCCTACGGCCGATTCACCGAGACCTTTGCTCACATGGCCTTTCCCACCAGCCCCTATGGCCGACCTACGATTGGATACCGTATGTGACCTGAGTTGCGTTTCTTATGATCGTGTGAGCACTTTGATGTTCTATATGTTGCACATCATTCCATTCTGTTGTCTTCCTTTCGGTTGTGTCTAGTGCTTGTGCTTCTTCTTATCTATATCGTATTGCAGTATTTTTGAGGCGCCTCAAAAAAGCTACTAAGCCGAAATCTGAAGCCTGATGCCGGGCCTCCCATTTCCTTCTGGTCAGCGTGTTGACCTCCTCGCCGTTCCTCTCCACCCCTCTCCTCATCCCTTACGCTTTTCGTTTTCCTCTAATTTCTTCTGCCATCCACATGCCCTGCCTCTACCCCCCATTCCCCCCCCCCCGGCCCAGCCACAGACTTCGATTGCATTGGGAGGAAGGAAGTGGAGGCGTTTTCCCAGCAGCATGACACACCTGACAAGACACGTTCACTCCCCTTCATACCCCTCTCCCCTCTGCTCCACCCACCTCCCTGCCCCTCTCCCCTCTATTCTTCACACCCCACTGTCCTCCGCTTCTCTGCCAGCGTCTGACTTTGATCGCCTTGGAAGGAGAGAGGTGGAGGCGTTTTTCCAGCAGCACTACACACCCGGCAAGCTCACATGCGCCGTGGTATGCATTTCTCGTGCCGCTTGGGTGTTGTCACACTGCATGCCATGCCATGCCATGCCATGATCTATCGTGGCATCTCATTAGTTGACGCTCCGGTTTCCTGCTGTGTTCGTGTGCATTTTTGTGTGCGTGCGTGCGTGTGTCATGTGTATGGATATGCCTGTGTGCACGCATGCATGTGCATGTGCATGTGCATGTGCATGTGCATGTGCATGCATGCATGGTGTGCATGAACGCAGGTTGGGGACGTGTCAGCACATGAGGTGGAGCGCCTAGCAACAAAGTACTTCTCCCCTTGGCAACCCGCCTCCCCCCCCTCCCAGCCCATCCCAGCCCTCCCCTTCTCTCTCGCCTCCTCCTCTCCCCTCCTCCTCGCTTCCACTTTCCCACTCCCCCTCTCCTCCTCCCCTGCTCTCTCCTCCTCCCTTCCCACCCTCACTCCTCCCTCCTCCTCTCCCTCTCGCGCCTGGCGATCAGCCAGCAGGGAGGAGGGGTGGGAGGCAGCAAGAATGGCTGCCGCTGCTGTTGGGGGGGAGAGGGAGATGCGCATGAGTGTGGGCGCTAACCCGCTGTATTTTGAAGGTATGCTCTGTTCTGAGGCGCCTCAAACATGTATTCTGTTGGTGGGGGGGGGGGACGCGGTCGAGTGTTGGTGCTAACCCACTGTATTTCAAAGGTAAAACACCCTGCGAAAAAACCTTTTTAGTAGCCTCCCTGGTTCCGATGCTGTCGAGGGAATTTTAACCCTTTTATATGTGGCAAGGGAAAAAACTATCGAAGGGTGTGTCCCGCTGTACGGAACCCCAAACTCCAAAACCCAACCCCAAACCCCCAAACCCCTACATATCTATACATATCGTAAAGTACAAAACCCCTCCCTCCCGCACTCCCCATTCTCCTCTCCTTTGGCTCCGCTTTGTCTCCCCTTATGCTGTTTTCTCTAACCCTCTCTCTGATGCATGATGCTCTCCTCCTTACGCACCCTCCCTTCTTACGCGTCTGTAGACGACCCAGCCATCCCTGTCCTCAGCTCACCGATCCCTCTCCTGCCCCCCCCCCCCCCCTCCCCCACGTATCTCCAAACTCTTCCTGCGCCCCTAGTGTAACGCGTGCAGGCTACTTTCGCCCCTCCTCTGCATCTGTAGACGACCCGATCATATCTGTCATCAGCTCACCTATCCCTCGCCTTTTCCTGCGGTTCCACTTGTTTCCGACTATCTCTGCCCGCAACGCGTGCAGGCTACTTTCGCCCCTCCTCTGCATCTGTAGACGACCCGATCATATCTGTCATCAGCTCGTTGCTCTACGGCTCACGATCCTCGCGACTCTACAAAGTACGATCCATCCATTCTTTACTCACAGAATGTCTCGACTCCTCTCATCAATTGCCTTGGCTGGATTCACTTTCCCTTCGGTTCTTGGAGCACAGCAGTTCACTGCTTTTGTTTTCCCTCTGCCCATAAGTAACTGCTGTGCTCCATTTTTGCTTTTTAGTCGACTCAAAAGTCCCTCCGCCCGTAAGTAACTACTGTGCTTCATTCCAATGATTCAGCATTCCAATCCAACTTACCCGCACCATGCCAGCATACCTTATTTCTCCTCTCTCCTCTCTCCTCTCTCCTCTCTCCTCTCTCCTCTCTCCTCTCTCCTCTCTCCTCTCTCCTCTCTCCTCTCTCCTCCCTCCTCTCTTCTCTCTCCTCTCTCCTCTCTCCTCTCTCCTCTCTCCTCTCTCCTCTCTCCTCTCTCCTCTCTCCTCTCTCCTCTCTCCTCTCTCCTCTCTCCTCTCTCCTCTCTCCTCTCTCCTCTCTCCTCTCTCCTCTCTCCTCTCTCCTCTCTCCTCTCTCCTTTGTCTTGTCTCTCCTCTCAGACCCTTGTCTTGCCAGGCAGGGCCCTCCCTCCCGGTGATGGGCCTTCCGAGAGGGGGAGCAAAGAGGAGAGGAGAGCAGGGATTGGCCAAAAGAGAGGGATTGGCAAAAGGAGAGGGATTGGCAAAAGGAGAGGGACAGTGAGAGGGATTGGCAGTGCCCTCTCAATGCCACTCTTCTTTTGCCAATCTCTGCTCTGCTCTCCTCTTTGCTCCCCCCCAGAACCCTGGCCTCCCACGCAAGGCCCTTTCAGCCTGTGCCAGTGCCAGTCCGTGGTTTTGCAGGGTGCTTTTGAGAATTCTCGAAACCACCCTGCCGAACCCTGGCCTCCCACACAAGGCCCTTTCAGCCAGTGCCAGTGCCAGTGCCAATGCCAGGGGATATGACATATATGACATTTGAGACGTCTCAAAATTACGCTCATTACACCTATCTTATCTTCTCGTCTCCCATCCCCCCTCCCTTCTCAGAACCTTGTCCTACCTGGCAGGGCGCTCTCAGCCAGTGCCACCGAGACCTATCCCGGGGATAAGCGGCCAGGGCTCTTCCTGCTATCAGCCTTCCCTCCCCTCGGTACCTCCCCATGCCCCCCTGCACACACGATTCCATGCGATACTGCCTGCCATGCATGCCCCCCTGCACTCACGATTCCATGCCATACTGCCTGCCATGCATGCCCCCCTGCACTCACGATTCCATGCCATACCTATTGCCAAGTATCCTCCTGCCACGCTTGCTGGTCCCTTGCAGCTTTTCCTTTTGGCCCTACCCGACGTTCCTCCGCAAGTTTTCCCATCAGAGCACAACACATCAGCAGGGCGTTCCTGCCGTGATATTTCCCCACAGGTGTCACCGCGGACGCAGTCCCAGAAGCCCTACAGGAGCAGCTGCCTCGCACGGCGGATGCGCGCATGCCAGAAAGCGAGCTTCCTCTTACTCTTGCTCCTATCTTTGCTCCCTGTGATGCACAACACCTGTTGTATGTCTGTCAGGGGGAACCACAGACGCAGTAGCCGCAGCCCTGCAGGAGCAGCTGCAGCACATGGCGGATAGCCGCGTGCCCGACAGTGAGCTTGCTCGGGTCCGCAAGTCGCTTCGTGTCGGCTTTCTGGTGAGTCCTGTGCCAGGTGGCAGGTGCCAGGTGGCAAGTGCCAGGTGGCAAGCCTTGCTATGAGGGCAACGGATCTGCAGGAGCAGCTGCAGCACATGGCGGATAGCCGCATGATTGATAGCGTGCTCGCCCGGGTCTGCAAATCACTCCGTATCGCCTGTCTGGTCAGTCTGCAATCTGGTGAGTCTAGATGGCATGGAAGGCGCTGTTGCTTCCCCCTTCTGAGTCTCGAGCTCACCAGGTGAAGCCTGCACCTCTTCTTCTGTCTGTCCCTCTCTTTCTCTCACCACAGCAGCTCCTAGGCAGCAACTCGGGCCTGGCTCAGGTGCTCTGCGAGCACTCAACCCCAGGCAGGCATTTGGTGGCACTGTTGTTTTCCTCTATTGAATGTCTCAGCGTATCAAGCCTCTCTCTGTTCCCCGTTCTCCCTCCCCACAGGAGCTCCTAGGCAGCCATGCGGGGCTGGCTCGGGTGCTCTACCAGGACTCAACCCATGCTGGCAGAAAGGAGGCGCTGTTGATGTTCTCTCCTCTCTGTGCTCCCCTCTCTCTGTGCTCCCCTCTCTCTGTGCTCCCCTCTCTCTGTGCTCCCCTCTCCCTGTGCTCCCCTCTCTCCGTTCTCCTCCGGCTTTCTCCACAGGAGCTCCTAGGCGGCAACTCGGCTCTGGCTCGGGTGCTGTGCGAGTACTCAACCCGTGCCGGCAGGTGGGAGGCTTGGTTGGTTCCCCTGTCTCAATCTCATCACTTCAAGCCTGTTCCCTGTTCGCCCCTGTCTGTGTGCTACCCCCCCCTCTCGAGTGGCAGGAACTTCTTGGCAGCAACTCAGGACTGGCTCGGGTGCTGTGCGAGTACTCAACCCGTGCTGGCAGGTGGGAGGCGTTGGTGGAAGAGGTGCAGCGGATAGAGGAGGTCACTCCCAGGGATGTGCAGCAGGTGGCGCGGCTGCTCTTCTCACCTGACATGCGCGTGACAGCGCATGCTGTCAGCGCATAACTATGGTAGTGCACATGATATCAGTGGGTAATCATCTAAGACAAGGGCAGGTGGGATGCGGTAGTGGAGGAGGTGCAGCGGATACAGGAGGTCACTCCCAGGGATCTGCAGCAGGTGGCACGGCTGCTCTTCTCACCTGATATGCACCAGTGCACAGCTCCTGTTGTTAATGCATGATTGTGGTGTTGAAAGGAGTTTAAGCCTAGAAGCTAGCTAGGCATGAGAAAATGTCGAGAGGTTTTAGCTAGGGAGTAAAGTTACGAGAGAAAAGGAGGGATGGACTAGAAGAGCGAGAGATACAAGAAGGGGGGGTTTGTCCTCTCTACTGTAGGATTCACAATCTGTACAGCACCTACCAAGCCTACACCAAATATATATGTATACAATATATGTAATTTGACACACCCCCTAGGCTTGGTAGTCGCAAGGCCACCCAACACGCAACACCCCCAAGCCCTTGCACCCCCATGTCCTGCAGCAGGTGTGGCTTCTACCCCTCGTGCGAAGCGGCGACATCGGCGGCGGGTGGCTGCAACAGTGTCAGAGGCGGCTTCTACGATGACGACACCAGCGGCGGCTGCGACGACGGCGCTGGCGACTGCGAAGCTCGCGGCACCCGGCGGCGTGGCACGGCTCGGCGAAGACCGGGTATTGAGTCATCAACTGCGGCTGGAGTAAGGGGAGGTGCGGCCTCATCACCGGGCCGACGTGGCGCTAAGCGTGAGGCTTTTTCCGTTGCTGCGCTTGATCGTGCCATCAGGGACTCGCGTGACGATGTCGCCCAGCTTGCCTTTGCCGGTCGCCTAATCCTTCCCATAGTGTTCCCCGATCTTGCGTCCTTCCCCACAGTCGCCGACTTTGCCACGCACCTCCACGCGCTTGAGACGAGCTACCGCGCTGCTAGCACTGAGGCACAGCTCACTGCCTTCCCGCCGCCGTTCTGTGCTACCCTTTATCTTATCGCCACGCACCTCCCTGACCGCCTAGCCACAGCCCGTGACCGCTTCCTTAGTCAGCACCCGAGTGACCTCACTCTCACCGCCTTTGTCACTTCCCTGTCTGAGATAGAGACCCGCCAGTGCAGTATCGCTCAGTCTAGCGGTACTGCAGCGGTACCTATCTTTCAGGGCTGTGCTCCCTCCTAGTGCACTTACTCTGACGTCTCTGCTACTATTGCTGAGATCGCTGCAGCGGCCTCAGCGCAAAAGCGTCCGGGGAAGGTTCGCCGCCCCAAAGAGGGGCGTGGTGGGGGGAAGGGGGGTGGCGGTAAGGAGGGTGGCGGAGGTGAGGGCGGGGACGGTGGTTTGGACGAGGGGACCAGGGCTGGTGCCCCGGAGCAGCCGCAGCAGTAGACGCAGTCTCAGTAGCAGCAACAGCTGCAGCAGCAGCAGTAGGCTCGGCAGCCGCAGCAGCCGCAGCCGCCGTCGAAGTCGTCGCAACAACAGCAATCGCCGCGGGGACCCCCGCCGCCGTCGCACTTGCAGACCCCTCCTCCGGTCCGGTAGTTGCACGTAGCTCAACCATCCTTCCCTGTCTGGCGGCCCCCTCGGGCACTCTTACAGGCCTGCACATCCCCTCGTTCTCTAGGAACCTAGTTGGTGTCGGCTGTCTTCAAGATCGCGGGGTCACCACTACGTTCCCCAGACACGAGCGGTACGCGGTCTGCACCGAGACCGCCACTGGTGCTTCTTTGACCACGTTCCCCTTGGGCCCTATGTCCGTCCTGTTTACACTTGACACTGCGTCCCCCCCGGTGAGGGCGTCCCCCTAGGTAGTCGCGGCTTGCTCGTGCCAGTCGCTCACTCACCCGTCGCTGCTGTGGCACGACCGCCTAGGTCACCATGCACTCCCGCGTCTGCGTCACATATCCCAGCACGGTCTTTTCCTAGGTCTCCCTGCGTCGCTCTCTACGTCGCTCTCTTCCCTCCCTACCTCGCCTTTGCCGCTGTGCACCCCGTGCGTCGAGGGTCGGCTGCGCCGTGCCCCTCACTCCTCCTCGCTTCGCCCTGCCACCGCGCCACTCCATACCCAGCACCTGGAAGTCTGGGGTCCAGGCCGCGTCGAGATCGCTACTTCTTGGTGCTTATCGACGACTACACGCGCTACACCACGGTGTTTCCTCTGGAGTGGAAGGCCGACGTGCTTGACGTTCTTATCCCGTGGGTCCTAGCTGTGCGAGTCCGTTGAGGTCTCTTTGTGCTGTGTCTCCACTCCGACCATGGCAGCGAGTTTGCCTCCGGTCGGCTCGGCATGTTCTGTCGTGCGGAGGGCATCACCCAGTCATACACCCTGCCGAACTGCCCACAGCAGAATGGGGTCGTTAAGCGACGCATCGGCTTGGTCATGGAGATGGCTGGTACCTGCATGATCCATGTCGGTGCACCCCATTTTCTGTGGCCTTTCGCTGTTCGCTACGCCGGTCACCAGCTGAACCTGTGGCCCCACTCCCAGCGGCCGCAGGTTTCACCGACCCTCCTCTGGACCGGGTGTCCTGGTGACGCATTTGCGTTCCACGTCTGGGAATGCCCCGCTCACTTTCGTGCTTCTGGCATAGACAAGCTCACTGCCCGACCTGTCCCCTGTGTCTTCCTTGGTTTCCCCCTTGACTCATCTGACTGGCACTTTTACCACCCGCCGTCTCACCGCTTCCTTCACTCTCGTGACATTACTTTCGACAAGTCTGTCTCCTTTTATCGTCGCTTTCCCCACCGAGGTCTCCCAGTTTCCCCATCCTTGTTTCTGATTCCCACTCCCTCAGTAGCCCCTGCTCCACTCCCTCCCGTCCTGCTCCCTCTAGTGTGTCTCACGTCACTCCCCTCCCGTCGGTTGTCCAGGTCGAGAGGTCGGCTAACTCTGGAGGCCCCGCGGTGCAGTTCTCGCCGCCTGTCTCTCCCCTGGTGTCCCCTCGTCCGTCCTCACAGTCGCCGCTGCAGCCCTCATCGCAGCCGCAAAAGCAGTAGTTGCTGCCGCCGTCGCAGCTGAAGAAACCGTTTGTGGACTCTGGGGGTGCTGGCGTTGAGGAGGGTGCTAGTCTTGGGTTTCCTGTCGTGGCTTGTCCTAGCAGGCTTGGGGGTGGCACCGATGCTGGAGGGAGTTCTCGCTCTGGGGGTGCTGGAGTGGAGTGTTCCGAAGGTAGCCGTGGTGCACCTGGCGTTCCAGGTGTTGGAGTCGAGCAGCAGCAGCAGAAGTCTCCGCCGTTGTCTGCCCTTCGCCTGCTCGGCCTTCCCTCCCCTGACTCCTCGCCTACGCCTCTCCTGCTGCCTCCTCCCCTTCCAGTCCACCGTCCTGTGTTTCCTCCGCCGGACTTGTCCCCGGCCCGTTTCCCACCTCTTCTGTCTCCTAACCAGACACCTCTATCTCACGTATGGTCGTGCCATCCCTCTCGTGCTCGTCCTGTTTCTCCTGCTCAGCGCTCTCAACCCATTATGCTTCATTCCCACGTGTCTCGTCCTCCCCTCCTGCCTTCGCCTCCTCCGTCGTCGCTCGTTGTTGCGCCTCCCCCTCTGTCTGACTACCTTCGTGCTACTCGTCCTCTTGTTTCTCGGGTCCTTGCCTCCCTCATTACCCACCCGTCTGTTCGTGTCTCCAGTCTTGACGCTCTTGTCGCTGCTGTCGCTAAATTTGCCTCTACCCGTCGCTTTGACTACGCCACAACTCTGGTCTCTGGCCTGCCTGCCCTCCGTCCGCCAGGGGTGCTCCTGCCCTTGGCATTGACGTTCTAGAGGACAGGCAGTACGAACTTGCTTTCCTGTCTGAGGCTTCTCCCCATCTCTGTTCCATGCTGCTAGTCCCTGAGGGTAACCCAGACGCCTTTGACATCCCGACCCCTCGCACTTGCGCTGAGGCAACCTCGGGACCCTGGGCCTCACAGTGGATAGCTGCCATGGAGCAGGAGATGGCATCTTGGAGATCTACCGGCACCTACGTCTTTGCTGTTCCCCCACCTGCGGTGAACGTAGTCGATGGCCGGTGGCTCTTCAAGGTGAAGCGCCCACCTGGAGAGCCGCCTGTGTTCAAGGCGCGCTACGTGGCTAGAGGCTTCAATCAGCGCGAGGAGGTGGACTTCTTTCATATATTCGCCCCAACCCCGAAGACGACTACTCTTCGAGCACTGCTATACGTAGCAGCACATCGTGACTATGAGCTCCACTCCGTCAAATTCTCCACAGCTTTCCTGCAGGGCAGCCTACACGAGCAGGTCTACCTACGCCGCTCCTTGGGCTTCTCCGGTACCTTTTCCCCTGGTACTCAGTGGCTCCTTCGGTGCCCTGTCTACGGCCTGCGCCAGGCGCTCCATGAGTGGCACGACACACTGCGTGCTACACTTGCTGACCTGCAGTTCTTTCCGTCCTTTGCAGACCCCTCGCTCTTCGTTCGTGTTGGCCAGACTCCGTTCTACATCGTTGTCTACATAGAGGACCTGGTCTTCACTACTGCAGACAGAGACGCAGTGGCCTCCGTGAAGGCTGAACTGCTGAGGAGACACACCTGCACTGACCTAGGAGAGTTGCGCCGCTACTTTGGCCTGCTGATCTCCAGGGACAGAGCAGCGCGCACCATCACTCTCACACGGCCACACTTGGTGCGCCAGGTCCTTCAGAGGTTCGGTCTTCAGTTCTCATCAGGACAGCCTACACCTTTGCTAGTAGACCACAAGCTCTCAACTCCTGTTCCTGAGGAGTCAGTAGAGCCCAGTGGTCCTTACACAGAGCTGGTGGGTTGCCTCATGTACCTGATGACTTGTACTCGTCCAAATCTCGCATATCCTCTCAGCATCCTGGCTTGCTTTGTGGCCACAGGCAGACACCGACCACATCACTGGTCGGGCGTTGAGAGGGTTTTGTGTTATCTAGCAAGTACATCTGACATGGGGCTAGTACTGGGAAGACACAGGCCAGTGGTCCTTACTGGGCACACAGACGCTTCTTGGGTAGACGACGCCGAGACCCTCAGGTCTTCTCAGGGCTACTGCTTTAGCCTTGGTGCAGGCGCGGTCTCGTGGAGGTCCATCCGCTCGTCGTCTGTTGCACAGTCTAACTGCGAGGCTGAGATCTACGCTGGTGCCATGGCGGCACAGGAGCTCCGCTGGCTGACTTTCTTGCTCGCAGACTTAGGTGAGTGGCCTAGCTCTACTCTATTTCTGTACGCTGACAACATGGCCATGATCCTCTCGTGTCAGGAGCCTCGACTGGAGGGCAGAGCGAAGCACATCCAATTGCGGTACTTCGTCCTGTGCCAGCTACAGTAGCGTCGCCAGGCCCGCATAGTACACTTGGCCTCCGGTGCCAACACACCTAATATCTTTACTAAGGTGCTTGCGGCTAAAGATCATCAGCGGCACTGTTTGCAGCTTGGTCTAGTTCCTGTAGCTATTCACTTGCTAGGACCTTGATTGTGTACTTCTCTTTATATATACCTTTCTGACTGGCCTTGTGGCTTCTCTTCCAGTGGTCGGACTAGTAGTGCCGCCCTAGTTTGCTCTTCTCTTGTTTGTACTCTTGCTGACCGGTCTTCGGACCCTTGCCTCAGAGGCTGGTTTGCCCTTGTCTCCATGTGTATCGTGTCGCGACATCGACGAAGGTAATATATTATATCGTTGTAGACCTTTTCGAGTGGAGCATACTCCGGTGCGCTCGGGTTGTGATGCGACAGGAATGGTTGACGAGGAAGATCTGCTTCCAGACAGATAAAGCAGGTGCGTCGGGGTCGTCAGAGTTCACGGCCATCGAGAAGTAGAAGAGCATCCTTGTCCACGGCGTTTCCACAAATGGTGTCGAATAGTCTTGAATTCTCAGGATGTCCTGACCTTTGATGCCATATTTCCTTGCTCGCCTTGTGTCCCACGGAGCATCGGTAGAGATTCGAGTTGGCGTAGAAGGCGGAGACAGTCGCGGCGCTTCGATGCTGCTCACAAGGATGCGCCTTTAGCTGCTCGGCGTCGGTCGGCAGCGTTTCATGAACGTGTGACGTGCTATTCGGCGTGGAGCTCCGTGCACAAGTGCATCTCGGAGATCCTCCCGTGAGCGCGTAGAAGGGAACGCATTGTACACCACTAAGGACTGAGACCGGCAAGAACGACTGTGACGAACGAATTCTCCGATAAGTGTCCTCCGCTGCGTAGAAGCTCGTCGCGTAAGCCTCTGCAACGATTGATGTAAGGCATTGCCTTTTCTCCTAGTTGCATCTGGATTGTCGTGAGTTGTGTCATCTGTCGGCTTTGTGTCACGCTGTTGGTTGCTTGGTAGACGCTCTTCAGATGACAATATGCCAATTCGGTGGAGTTGCCGAAGTTGCGATATGTGCGAATGCTTTGTTGTGCCGTTGCTGCCAGGTTGCGCAAGAGGATGGTGAAGGCCACCGACGACTGATAAGTGTAAATCTTCTTCTCATGAGTAGTCCCGTTTACAGGAAAGGCCCACAAGCCAGTGAAGAAACCGAGGATTTGCGCGCCGTCCATCAGCAACTCAAACTCGAAGCTCTAGGCGAAGAAGTCCTTCCCCTTGAAAGGTGAGGACGTCTGTAGTTTCATAATATTGTTGAACTATTTTTGCATGGTGACAATGTCTGTCTGCTTGTCAGCTGTCTCTGAGTCCACTGCCGGTGAGGGGGCCGGCAGGAAGGTGAACGAGCCTGGCGAGGGCTGGTAAGGTTGATGCTGTGTAGGTTGTGCGCCTCTTGCGTACGATGCGACGTCGAGGCTCGTTGGGACTGCCCCACTGTTGTTGTTGCTGTGTGCCGATTGAGCAGGTGCCGAAGACTATTCGTGAAGGAGAAGAACTTCTCCATTAGATTCGGGTCCATGCCCGGGGAGGAGGCCACTGGTTGCGTGGAGGCTCCTGTAGCTGCGACTTCCTCAGTCTGTAGTCCAGAGACTTGGGGTGCAGAGGAGGATCCAGTAGAGGATCTATCACCTTTAGATGTCGCCATGTCTTGTGTCCTTGATTGATGAACTTGAGATTGTTGTGAATGGTTTTGTAACCAAGTTAAAACTCACTGAGGGAGTTTGTAACAGGAGCGTAGCTTCTGACCAGCTCTCATACCATGTTGGGCTGAGTATAGCCCAAGGATCTTTTCAGAAGGCGAATTCCTTGTAACAGAGTGCTTGATAGCACAACGGAATTCTTGAGTTGAACCCTTGTACTGGTATGTGATAACAAGTTATTGATTATAGCAAAGGGATACAATGTTTATATAATAATATAAGTGAATATGAAGAGTCTAACTGTTCGTGCACTTTAAAGGGTACATTCCCTTTTAAGACCCGATAAGGCGACTCGGGTAACGACCCATTTGGTAATATCGGGATGGTTATTTGTCCTCGCTGTCGCGCAGACTCTTGACTCTTCCGATTCTAACCGTTGGGTTGCATGGTCAACGGTCTGCAACCGTTGCCCTTTCGTAACCTCTGCTGGGTGCCGTCAAGCTGTGTCAACCGTCGGTAGTGTTGTTGCAGTGTTGACTCACGCGAGACTCCGGAAATGCCTTAAGTTCTTTTATCATTTCCAACAGCAGGCAACAAGTGGGAAAGGTTGATGATGCCGGCCTGCCAGGCGCATAGGAGGACAGGTGCACACAAAATGCGGAGCTAAACTAACAGGTGGGCAGCTGGTTGGTTGGTAGGCAACTGATGGTGGGATGTTGAGCATGCTTTCCTCACTGGCTCCGCAGCGACGCAAATGAACCAGGGGTGTTAGCAGCATAATTCGATGCAGCAGTTTTGGGAGCAGCATCGGAAGCAGAAGCGTCTTCAGCAAAATCGGGACCAGCTTAAATGGGAGCAGCATCGGATGCAGGAGCAGCATCGGACGCAGGAGCATCTTCAGAATAATAATGATCTTCAAAATCGGGATCAGCATAATTGGGAGCAGCATCGGAAGCAGGAGCAGCGTTGGAAGCAGGAGCAGGAACCGAAGCAGGGGCCGCATTGGAAGCAGGAGCAGCAGGTGCATTTTCTGAAAGATGAAGCGATGATGCCACACGAAACGAAATGAGGAAGAGGAGGTTGGAAAAATGTATGTAGTTTCAAGCGACCCTTAAAGCGAGCTACTACAATAAGTTCAAGGTTCAAAGTACTTTGAACCGCGCCAGGTATTTTCGGATTCGGCTGGTTGGTTTCGCCCTCGGCAGGTTCAAGGTACTTTGAACCTTGAAGTTATTGTGGTCGTGCGCTTTAAAGCCCAAGTCTAGAATGGTAAAAAACCATGTTCACTGATCATGAAAACAGTGCCAAAAACACTGGACGAAACCAATTTCGGCAAAGCTCCTCTAGCGAAAAATACTTCTCAGCGAAAAAAAAAAAGGGTCGCTCGCGACACAAAAGGAACCCAACAACTTGTAATCAACAGTGCGCAAACAGTGACGACTTTGGGGGTGGGGGGGCAAACTGTACAAAGCTTTTCCCGCGCAGCTAGTCTCGGCAAAAAATGCGTCTAGAATGGTACCGGGCGTTTTCAACTTCAGTATGAGTGAACAGTAAGTTCGAGGTTTGTCTCATATAGCGAATTTCGCACGCTGCCCCACTTCCCCAAGGGTCGCGACGTGGTGGTCCCCTTCTCTGGGTTACCCCTACTTTTACGAAAGCAAGTTCAGGAATCCTGAACTTGATAGCCAACCAATGTAGACTCGGGCTTTAACCTGAAAGGAGTCTATTTTTGAGGCGCCTAAAAATCAGAAGCAGCGATGATGGCACACGAAACGTAAGGAGAAAGAGGGGGTTGGAAGAATGCATGTAGTTTCAAGCGACCCTTAACCCGAAACCCTGAACTCTTACAGGTGATTAAGTAACACCTGCATCTATAGCGCAGCCGACTAATTCACACAGGCTTTTAACTAGGCCTGAACTCTTACAGATGATTAAGCATCACCGTTGTTCTTGTGAAGAGGCAAGTTCATGCACCATACCTTGGCAGGTTTGATCAACAGCGGAAGCAGTGAATGCCTGGTTTCCCACCTTACTTTTCCAGCCCCCCTACTTGCAGGGTTTATCGCACCATGCCTGGCTTCCCCTGCTCCCACCCAGGTTCAGAGCACCATACCTTGGCAGGTTTGATTGGCAGCAGAAGCAGTGAATGCCTGGCTGCACGCCTTGCTTCCCCCGAGCTCCCCCTTCCCATACCTCCAGGGTTCAGAGCACCATACCTTGGCAGGTTTGATTGGCAGCAGAAGCAGTGAATGCCTGGCTGCACGCCTTGCTTCCCCCGATGGCGCCCCCGTTGCTGGGCATTAGAACACACGTGGAGTTGCCTGCACACGTGGTGTGCTGGCATGGGTCCCCTGCAGTGGGGCGCAGTGGGGTGCAGTGAGGGGAAAAGCATTGGGGGGCTAGGAAACATTAAGGCACGCATTGGCTGCAGGTGGCAATCATTCCCACATCATGCCCGCGTTGCCGGGTAAAAGCACACACGTGGAGTTGCCTGGACATGTGGTGAGCTGGCAGGGGTCTTTTCCCCTGCAGTGGGGTGCAGTGAGGGTGCAGTGGGGTGCAGTGGGGTGCAGTGGGGGTGCAGTGGGGTGCAGTGGGGTGCAGTGGGGGTGCAGTGGGGTGCAGTGGGGGTGCAGTGGGGTGCCGTGGGGTGCATTGGGGTGCAGTGGGGGTGCAGTGGGGTGCAGTGGGGGGGAACATAGGTCAGCAAGGGGGAACAGAGGAGGTAAAATGAGTCTCCTCCTACCGATTATCCTGTGGGGCGCAGTGAGGGGGGAACAGAGGAGGTGGATTGCCACACTACCGAAAATCATGCACACTCTATTGAGGTGCCTCAAAGATCGCCTCTTGAGGGCAATCGTCTCCACATCACGCCCTCGCTATTGCTCGTTGGATAGCAAGTGGAGTTGCCTGGACACGTGGTGTCCGCACAGACGTCCTCTGGGGTGCAGTGGGGTGCAGTGGGGCGCAGTGGGGTGCAGTGGGGCGCAGTGGGGTGCAGAGGGGTGCAGTGGGGTGCAGTGGGGTGCAGTAAGGGGGACCAGAGGAGGTTGACTGAAGTGCCTTTTAGGGGCAATCGTCCCCACATCACACCCTTGCTGTTGCCCCTTGGATCGCAAGCGGAGGCGCCTGCACGCGTGGTGTGCTGGCAGTCATCCTCTGCAGTGGGGTGCAGTGCGGTGCAGTGGCCGGAAACATAGGAGGTGGATTGAACTGCCTCTTAGCAGCAATCGTCCCCATATTACGCCCTTGCTGCTCTTAGCGGTAAAGAGGAAAAGGAGGCAGGAGGAAAAGGAGGCAGGAGGAAAAGGAGGCAGGAGGAAAAGGAGGCAGGAGGAAAAGGAGGCAGGAGGAAAAGGAGGCAGGAGGAAAAGGAGGCAGGAGGAAAAGGAGGCAGGAGGAAAAGGAGGCAGGAGGAAAAGGAGGCAGGAGGAAAAGGAGGCAGGAGGAAAAGGAGCCAGGAGGTATAAGAGCCAGGAGGAAAAGGAGCCGCCAGGAGGAAAAGGAGCCCCTGGGGCGTGGGCCACACCGGGAGGCAACAAGGCAAGTGGGTAAGTGGGCAAGCAGGCAAGAGGGAAAGAGAGCAAGGAGGGCTGGAGGGAAGGAGGGTAAGGAGGCACGTACGGATAACGCAGAGGACAGTTGCCACCCTGGCCCACATGGCTCTCCTCGAGCTGGGGAGAGGGGAGAGGGGAGAGGGGAGAGGGGAGAGGGGAGAGGCGAGAGGGGAGAGGCGAGAGGGGAGAGGGGAGAGGAGAGAGGGGAGAGGGGAGAGCCATCAGAAACACATTGAAAGGTTACCACCAGGTTAAAGGAAGATGCAAGTAGGTGCACGCAAGTTGAAAGGCAAGGCACACACACACACACAGAGCCTAGCTCAACTTGGCATGACACAGACACACACACGCACACACGTACGCACACACACCCACGCATGCAAGCATGCGCACGCACGCACACGCACACACACACGCACATGCACACGCGCGCACACACACACACACACACGCACACACACGTGCAAGCACGCACACACCACACACACACACACACGCACACACACGTGCAAGCACGCACACACCACACACACACACACACGCACACACACGTGCAAGCACTCACACACCACACACACACACACGTACACTCACACATGCACACACACATGCACATGCGCACACACATGCACATGCGCACACACATGCACATGCGCACACACATGCACATGCGCACACACATGCACATGCGCACACACATGCACATGCGCACACACATGCACATGCGCACACACATGCACATGCGCACACACATGCACATGCGCACACACATGCACATGCGCACACACATGCACATGCGCACACACATGCATGCACATGCGCACACACATGCACATGCGCACACACATGCACATGCGCACACACATGCACATGCGCACACACATGCACATGCGCACACACATGCACATGCGCACACACATGCACATGCGCACACACATGCACATGCGCACACACATGCACATGCGCACACACATGCACATGCGCACACACATGCACATGCGCACACACATGCACATGCGCACACACATGCACATGCGCACACACATGCACATGCGCACACACATGCACATGCGCACACACATGCACATGCGCACACACATGCACATGCGCCCCCACCCCCCCCACACATGCACATGCGCACACACATGCACATGCGCACACACATGCACATGCGCACACACATGCACATGCGCACACACATGCACATGCGCACACACATGCACATGCGCACACACATGCACATGCGCACACACATGCACATGCGCACACACATGCACATGCGCACACACATGCACATGCGCACACACATGCACATGCGCACACACATGCACATGCGCACACACATGCACATGCGCACACACATGCACATGCGCACACACATGCACATGCGCACACACATGCACATGCGCACACACATGCACATGCGCACACACATGCACATGCGCACACACATGCACATGCGCACACACATGCACATGCGCACACACATGCACATGCGCACACACATGCACATGCGCACACACATGCACATGCGCACACACATGCACATGCGCACACACATGCCACAACACATGCACATGCGCACACACATGCACATGCGCACACACATGCACATGCGCACACACATGCACATGCGCACACACATGCACATGCGCACACACATGCACATGCGCACACACATGCACATGCGCACACACATGCACATGCGCACACACATGCACATGCGCACACACATGCACATGCGCACACACATGCACATGCGCACACACATGCACATGCGCACACATGCACATGCGCACACACATGCACATGCGCACACACATGCACATGCGCACACACATGCACATGCGCACACACATGCACATGCGCACACACATGCACATGCGCACACACATGCACATGCGCACACACATGCACATGCGCACACACATGCACATGCGCACACACATGCACATGCGCACACACACATGCACATGCGCACACACATGCACATGCGCACACACATGCACATGCGCACACACATGCACATGCGCACACCACACACATGCACATGCGCACACACATGCACATGCGCACACACATGCACATGCGCACACACATGCACATGCGCACACACATGCACATGCGCACACACATGCACATGCGCACACACATGCACATGCGCACACACATGCACATGCGCACACACATGCACATGCGCACACACATGCACATGCGCACACACATGCACATGCGCACACACATGCACATGCGCACACACATGCACATGCGCACACACATGCACATGCGCACACACATGCACATGCGCACACACATGCACATGCGCACACACATGCACATGCGCACACACATGCACATGCGCACACACATGCACATGCGCACACACATGCACATGCGCACACACATGCACATGCGCACACACATGCACATGCGCACACACATGCACATGCGCACACACATGCACATGCGCACACACATGCACATGCGCACACACATGCACATGCGCACACACATGCACATGCGCACACACATGCACATGCGCACACACATGCACATGCGCACACACACAATGGAGTACCTGGGCTCGAGGTAGAACTGGTACGGCGCTGAGGCGAGCTGGTTCATCGCCAAAACCCGCATGCCCCTGCAGTTGCGCCCAGCATAGAAGTTGAGCTTCTCGCACGTGGCCCTCGGCACAGGGCTGCTGCTGCTGCTGCTATTGCTGCTGCTTTCACTGCTACCGGTGCTGTCAGCGCTGGGATACATGCCAAAGGTGGTGCCATTGGTGCTGTCGTTGCTGCCAAAACTGGTGAGGTTCCACCACACCTGCACACAGCAGAACAGAGCACCGTGTGTGTGATAACAGTTGAGTTCTCTGACGTCTCAACACTAAACTGTTGCTGCTGGAAAGGCTGGTGAGGCTCCACCGCATTTGCTAATGTAGACGCGCTGGTAAGGTTTCACATTGGGCTCGTGCACAAGGGCTGGTAAGGTTTCACCCTAAGTAGAAGTTGGTGAGGTGCCGCCGCCATACCTGCACGTCCCCCATCCCCGTGACCGCGCTCGCAGGAACGGCGGAGCAGAGGGGGGCGGTGAGGTTCAGGTTGGCGTCCCCCACAATGAGGTGCGTTTCCAAAATGCGATGCGTGTTGACGCAGACGGGGGGGTTTAGTAGGTGCTCTGAAAGTACATGTTGGTGAGGCTCCCGCCATACCTGCACGTCCCCCATCCCCGTGACCGCGCTCGCAGGAACGGCGGAGCAGAGGGAGGCGGTGAGGTTCAGGTTGGCGTCCCCCACCATGAGATACGTGTCCACGATGACTGCTGGGGCGGCGGGCACAGCGTTCTGGTTGCGGATGCGTGGAATTGCCTGCACCTGTGCTACCAGCAGCCCCGTTGCTGGAGGCAAGGGCAGCGGCCAGGGCAGGGGCAAGAGCAGGGGCCAGGGCAGGGGCCAGGGTAGGGGCCAGGGCAGGGGCCAGGGCAGGGGCCAGGGCAGGGACGGAAGAGGAGAGCAGGGTATATCAAGAGCAAGTGAGATTGAGGTTGGGGCGGGCGTCCCCCACCATGAGATACGCGTCCACGGGGACTGCTGGGGCGGCGGGCAAAGCGTAGTGGGTGGTTGGAGCCGCCGGTACCTGTGCCAGCAGCAGCCCTGTTGCTGGAAGCAAGGGGCAAGGGCAAGGGAAAGGGACGGAAGGGGAGAGCAGGTCATGTCAAGAGGTACGACTTCCACCGTGAGGCTGAGGTTGGGGCGGGCGTCCCCCACAATGTGTTGCGTGTTGGGTGCTTTTAAGAATTCTCCAAATGACACCACAATGAGATACGTGCTGATGACTACTGCTGGGGCGGCGACCACTGCGTTGCAGACGCCCGGGATCGCCTGCACCTGCGCCACCAGCAGCCCGGTTGCTGGAAGCAAGGGGCAAGGGCAAGACAAGGGACGGATCAGAGCAGAGAGACGCGGTGAGGTGCAGGCGGGCGCCCCCCACAATGAGGTGCGGTTCCTCGAGGACTGCTGGGGCGGCGCGGCGGCCACCGCGTTGCGGATAAATGGATCGCCTGCGCCTGTGCCAGCAGCAGCCCTGTTGCTGGAAGGGAGGGCGAGGGTGAGTGAAGGGAGGAAAGAGGAGATAAGGGCATGTCCATGGGATGAGATTGATCAGGAGAGTCCACGCCCAGTGGCCGCCAGCTACTTCGGTGTCAGCCAGCCAGCTCAAGCGTACCGAAAGGCAGGCGAGGCTAGCCGTTGAGGGAGCGAAGCAGAAAATTGTCGTCCACTAGCGAAACAAGAGGCTGTTCTCTTCACCTCACCGCAAATGGCGGCGAGGAGGAGAAACGAGAGGCGGCTTTTGAATCGACTCAATGAGTTCACCCTTTCAGGCGAGATTGTTCTCAGCAGCTCACTGCAAATGGCGGCGAGGAGGAGAAACTGCTTCTGAGTCGACTAAAAAGCAGGAAGTGAGACATTTTCCAGGCTTAACTGCACCAACGAACGAACTCACGACTCACCGCAAATGACGGCGAGGAGGAGAAACGAGAGGCGGGAAGGCGCGCTGGCCATCGTGGTCGCTCGCGCGTGCTGTAGCGACAAGAGAAACAGCGGTTCAGAGCGGTTCAAGAGCCGAAATGTGCAGCTTCGACGTCCTGTGGCGTCAAGAGAAACGGCGCTTCAGCGTCAGCGGCAACTGCAGTTCAGGGTCAGCGGCGACAGCAGTTCAGGGTCAGAAGCAGCAACGATGCAGCGGAGACGTGACGAGCCGCTACTAGTGGCTATGGCGTGGAGTCCCGGGTTCTTCTTGTACGAAATCGGCGAAGGTCGGTCTCGAAATAGAGTTACGGGCGAGGATGAGGTATTGGAATGGTACAACAGACGGTAACGGTACAATAGACGGTAACGGTACAACAGACGGTAACGGTACAACAGACGGTAACGGTACAAGACGAGGCTATGGCACAGTGGCGAATGGAGGAGTGACCCCATTCCGTTACTGACAGGCGCTTTGTACTAAATGTTAGGAGGCTCTCGCTGGGACTCCCCATTGCGCTGAGCGTTAGACGCCAAACCGAGTCGTGGCGGGAACCGACCAGCGAGGAAGTGGATTCGAGGGACGGAAAGGTCTTGTGATTCGTCGAGGCGCCCCAATAAATCGCTTTTAAAAGATTGCCTCTCGAGGGGTTCGACAAGTCGCATTTTGAGTCCCGACGAGCTTGACTTCTGATCGCTTATTGCTGGTGATGATCGCTTTTCTCGTCGCCAAGGATCGTCAACGATCGCCTAGGATCGCTGTTGTGTAGTCTGATTGGCTGTTATGCCAATACCACGACGGCTCCGCTCATTAGCAGTCGCAAACGAATCCTCGGCCAGAAAGAATCTTCAGGCGTGGCGTCCACTGGAGAACGCGACGGGGGAACGCAATGGGAGGTGGCCAGAATAAACCTCCTAGCGATGATAATAATGTGAATCTCCTAGCGATGATAATAATGTGAATTTCCTAGCGATGATAATAATGTGAATCTCCTAGCGATGATAATAATGTGAATCTCCTAGCGATGATAATAGTGTGAATTCAAGAAGGGCTTGACTCCGAATCGCGGCATCCCAAGCCCTGCGATTGTCTCCTTCCCCTTGACTAAGTTAATCTCCATCAGGAATCAGGAGGGAAAACGGTGCAGTGATCGCGTGAGCGTGAGTGAGCCGCTTCAGACAGATATACATTTCTGAAAGAAGGCGTGGAACGTGTTGCATAATTCAGCACGAGTGGACCTTTCGTGTTTGGATTGCGCTGGCAGAATCTCAACACTCCCACAGCCGCGTTTTGCCCCGCTGGAAAAAATCTGTCTAATGGAACTTGACCAGTTTCAATCGTAGGGGGTGATGATGAGCACGATGCTGCTCTGACATGCCAGAGAGCTGTACAGTACGGTGCTAGCGGTGTCAGAACGGTACAAACTGGTCAACTTATGGTTCCGTGACCTGTTGATCGCCACCATCATGTGGGCGGAAGGGAAGGAGGGGGATGATGGGAACGAAACAGATATTCTTGCATTCGCCCTGTAACAAATGAGCGCGAAGTTTTAGCGACGAAAAAAGGTCCCAAACCGCATTTGATTACCACGTTACTTGACTTCAGCCCCCGCATGCAACCTTTAAAACAAACTCTTAGCAAAGCAGAAGTCTTACCAAATGCCCACGTGGTCACTGCTAAAAGTTCGAGCCTGGGAGTGTAGTACTTAGTGAACGTACCGAACTAAGCTAACGGAGCGACCTTGAGGGTGACACAAGCCTTCACCTGCATGATGTGCTCAAGTTGACCCTTTTTTTTTCTGACGGAAGTACCAGCGGCCGAACCTCGTGCGACGCGACTATTGGCGTCCTCCCGTTCAGCGCCGGTTCCGAATCGTACGAGCCGTACGATTTGTTGTGAAGTTGTTATCGTCGTCGCAGGAGCAGATCCAGGCCAGCTCCTACTAGCGACGCGGAATCACCGGACGATTTTAACGCGTACTTATCCACGACCCCGAAATACACACCGATGGCCACCGCGAGCAGCTTCATTCGCCGAGGAGCGCCTCGCGGAGGTCCCGCGACGGCCGGGATAGCACCTAGAGGAAGTTCTAATAGTAGTTCTGCCCCTACTAATAGTACTTCTAGTTCAGGAGCAGGCTCGGGATCCACAGCAGGCTCGGGATTCACAGCAGGCTCGGGATTCACAGCCACAGGAAGCACAGCAGCGACGATGGCGCTTCCAGGGACGAGATTCGCCGCTGGAGCTCGACTGGTGACCTCGTCGGGCCTCGCCGGACTCGATCATATCCTCCTCGCCCTCCCTACCAAGCCTTCAGCCTACCGATCCTTTAGCCCACCCATCCTCAGCTTCCTCGCCCCCTCGTGCCGCTTGTTTGGTGCTTCCATTGCTAGGTTTCCTTGGTCTTGTTAATCTGTTCCTGTGTTTGTCTCCACGTGTTATCTCCACGTGTCCACCTTCCCGCCTCTGCATTCCCTCTCGCACCTCTCCTCTACTCTCCTCCTACCCTCTGTTCAAGCTTCCTTAACCGCCTATGCTCTTCTCCCTCAATCTTCTCCTCTCTTTTCCTGTTCACTCATCCCCCCCTCCTCCTCTTCCATTTCTCCCCTTTCTTCCCGTATCCGCTCTCCCCCTCCCTCCTGTATCCGCTCTCCCCCTCCCTCCCGTTTCCACTCTCCCCCTCCTCCCTCTTCTTCCCCCTCCCGTTCTCCCCTTCCTCTCCCCTCGTCTCCTCTCTTCCTCCACACCACCTCTCGCCATCCTCGCCCCCTCCTCTCATTCCCTCTAACCACAAGCCCTGGGCGGCGGCTACCCGGTGGGGGGCATCGTCCTACTCCTAGAAGACTCACTTTCTCCCCTGCACCTCGTGCTCCTCCGCTTCTTCCTAGCCCAGGGTCTACCCCACTCCCACCCACTGCTGCTCCTCTCGCCCCTCCCGGATCCCCAAGCGTTTCTCGCCACGCTCCCCGCGCAAGCTGAGGGAAAGGCAGGTTCGGGAGCCCACGCAGGTTCGGGTGGCCGGGCAGGCTCGGGAGGGCTTCCCCAGCCTCAGGGGCTGGCTCGGACGCAGGAGGAGACCAGAGGGGGGGGAGGAGTGGGGGGAGGAGGAGGAGAGAGGGGGGGCGAGGTAGGAGGGGGGAGTGATGGGTTGAGAATAGCATGGCAGTATCGACGCTTGACACCACAATTCGCATCCGAGAATTCCCAAGTATCACTATCAGCAGCAGGTGCAGGGGGAGGAGCAGCAGCAATGCCCTACTGTACTGAGTTTGACCTCCGCTCACCGCTGTCTCGACCGGCCCTGAGGCAAGCACAGCAGCTATGCACGTGTGTGCCCATGGATCCAGATGCGCCCATGGAACCAGATACGCCCATGGAACCAGATACGCCCGTGGCACCAGATACCCCCTCCCATCCAGCCTCAGATTTTACAGAAGCCTTTTTCACCCGCGTGTCAGGATTTCTATCCTCACTTGAACCCAGCGAACCAGCAGAGGCTGCTCTCCGCTCACCTGTGGGGTCTGCAGGGGATGGTGGAAGAGGCCTGGAAGGGGGAGGAGGAGGAAGCGGAGGAGGAGGAGATGGGAGGAGGTTGGGTCGCGTTGCTGTGCATTCGTTGGGGGCTCCTCCCTCGTTGCTGCTGTCAAGAAATTATGCTCAGGTGAGTGCAGAAGAAGGGGGCATTGCTCCCTTGTTCCTTGCTAGGAAAAGGGGCGGGCCGTGGGGATGTGTGTAGAAAGGTAAAGTCTGATGAACGAGGCATGAGGTATTCCTCCCTCCTTATGACCAACCTTGTTCTTTCCATCAGACTCCTGCTTTTCTGCTCTCCGTTTCCTCCCTCCAACCTTGCAGTCGTGGCTGGTCCTTGTATGGCTGCAGTGGCTGAAGGCTGCAATCGAACGTTACCAGCAAGCAACAGTCCTTGTAACAATGCCTAGAGATAATAGGGCAGTTCCTTCTGTACAATATCACCCACTGCGTTCCTCGTCCCTCTCCTGCAGTCCTGGCAGGTCCTTGCGTGGCTGCAGTGGCTGAAGGGCTGCATTCGCGGGTTACCAGCGACAGTCCTTGTAACCGTGCCCAGAGATGAAGGGATGGTTCCTCCGCACGTGCTGCTGAGACTGCAGCATGCAGCGGATGTGGTGCTGGCAATGGAAGCTCTGGAAGGTAGGAGGCGATGCAAGATCGAGCTGGTGAATGCTCTACATGCCATGCATGCAAGTGTACATTCGTATGTGCATGGTTCCTCCACACGTGCTGATGAATATGCAGCATGCAGTGGATGTGGTGCTGGCAATGGAAGCCCTGGAAGGTAGGGGGGGCTGGGCGAACAACAGGTGGATTTTCGTGCATGTGTGCATGCACATGAGCATGGTTCCCCCACACCACATGTGCTGCTGAGACTGCAGCATGCAGCGGCTGTGGTGCTGGCAATGGAAGCACTGGAAGGTAAAACGGGATGCGAATCCGGAAGTGGTGAATACTGAACAAGGCGTGCATGCATGTGTGCATGGTTCAACTGATTCGTGCAGCTGAGGCTGCAGCATGCAGCGGATGTGGTGCTGGCAATGGAAGCCCTGGAAGGTAACAAGGGAGGCAATTCTGAACTGGTGAAGGCTGAGCATGGCGTGCATGCATGCAAGTGCATATTTGTAGTGCACAGTTCCCCTGAATGTGCTGCTGAGACTGCAGCATGCAGCAGATGTGGTGCTGGCAATCGGGCTGTCAGCATTGAGCTTGCATGCATGGTGCTGCTGGTGTACATTTGACTGGCCATGCATGTGTGCACTCATTTTTGCATGTGCTTGTCTGCACAAACGGTCGAATTCCTTGCTGATGTGATCATCTGAGTCTGTGCAGAGGACAACTCGGAGATAGCCAGTGGCATCTCGGATTACAAGGACGCCCTGGGCCTTATCCGCATTCGCAAAGTCTCTGTGCAGAACTCCCTGGTAAGCATTCTGAATGGGGTGACCATATCAGTGCCATTACCCCACGACCCCAGCATAACCTGCATGCCAGTCGGGACCATGTCAATGCTAAAATAAATGAGCTGGAAGCAGGAAAACGTGAACTGGCTATTTTGAATCGCATACAGCTCATCTCATGGTTCTGAGTTTTTTCATTATCCGTCGAAGGTGCCGTGCATGGCTGCAGTGACCACTCTGGTGCTAACATCAGTGGGCAAGAAGCGACAGAGTGGTGGAGAAGGCTCATCCACCCACCGCCTATCGATGTTACAGGGGGAGCAGCGGACTCTTAATCCGTCTCTTGCTTCTGATCTGATGATCTCTTCCCCCTTATATCAGGTGCCTCGCATGCCGGCAGTGACCACTCTGGTGCTGAAAGCAGTGAAGAGGAAGCGACAGATAGTGGTGGAGGAGGCTCATCCACCCCCTATTGACGCCACAGGTGGAGCATCAGGTTCAGGCGGAGGCAGTGGGAGTGGATCTGTTGGTTGTGGTAGCTCAGGAGGGGGAAGCAATGTCCTGGATTTCTGAAATATCAAATTGGTTAGTAAAATAAATAAATAAGAAATGCTGCTGGTCCTCTGCAAAAAATATTTTGAATTAGAAAAAATGATTGAACAAGGCGATTGGTCATGGAATTGTCGCGACAGGGAATGAAAGGAAGCGTTCAGCACTGAGAGCAGCTGTCGGTGTCGGAACCTGGATCATCCGTAATTAATCGTCATTTTTGTTGTATGGAAGAAGTGCACGGCTCCGTTTTCCGCGCATGGTTCAGGGCCTTCGTTTCCGCTTCAGCCTTGGCTTTAGCTGCATTGTATCGCTCCAGCCCTTCGTAGTAAGTCTCCCACACACACGGGCTGCACCCGCTACCGCAGCAGTCGCCTGGGAGCGGCTTCTCTGGCGGCTCGAGGCTCGTCCGATTCATTCGCAGGGAGGCGACAGTCGAGAGCGAGACGACAGACTGAAGAAGGCGAGTTGCTGGTACCTTTGGGGTCGAAAGGCGAGCCTTGATCATAGACAGAGGCAGCAGAGGTCCGTTGGATTTACGCACGATGATTGATGCAATTACAAATGTGAATGCATAACTCCGGTCTCAAAACCATTCCATGTCAGGTAACAAGAAGACAAGGAAGGTGAGATAGTCCTATCACCTAAAAGGAGGCGGAAGGGCTTGGTTCTAAATTCTAGGAGGATCTCGACGGTACACATCTGTCATGCTCCTAGGACTTATCATGCTTCTGGAAAGTAGCCCTCGTCATGAGTTGCTTCGCTAAACACGTACAATACCGAGGTAAATGTATACGGTTTTGACAACACTCAAGCGAAATATCGACCAACTGCAGGATCGCCGCGCGCAATCGACCACCCCAGCTATTGGTCGAGCGTCTTCTCTTTTGACGCACCCAATTGGGTAAAATTCATCTCCATAGTGGGTTTCCATTGGCTCGCCTCGCCTCTACCCTACAGTAATGCGAAGTGCCGTCCACTGCACAATTGCTGAAAGGGGCTTTCGCCAGCCACGGAACTTCCTCCTCACGCTCTGGCTGTCTAGTCAAGAGCAGGCTAACAGTCCTAATATAAGATTGAGCGAAAAGAGCGAGCTCAAGCTCTGTAGCGAACCGTGTTCACTAATACCGTGCGGAGCTTCTGCACGGGAGCCATGACGGTAGCGCAACCGTCCGCGCGCTGCTCGCAGCCCTCTGATAACACGCTGGAAACGCACAAACGCGAGAATACCGGCGACGGCGATATTGCCGCGTCCCCTGACGACAAGGCTGTCGCCAGCGGGGGCGGGAGCAGCGGCTGGAGGAGCGGCGAAATAATCGCCGGCGGAACGAGCGGCGGGCGGTGGACGTCAGTGGTGGCAATCCACGGCGCGTGCATTGCGGCGAACGACCCGTTCGCGGGGGACGACGGGCGCGCGCCTAGCGGGAATGGGGCTGGCGGAAATGCCCCTGGCGGAAGCTCAGGAGACGCGGCGGGCGGAAGCGGAGAGGCGGACGAGGGGATGCGCCACGCGCCATACTGCCCGTTGCGGTCTTCCCCCGCGTTTGCTTGGTCCGCGCTCACACACCCGTTCCGCGGACCAGAGGCGGAGGCGGAAGCGGAGGCGGAGGCGCAGGCGCAGGGGCGGGGTCGGGTAGAAGGCGCGGGGGAGAGGAAAGAGGAGAATGGGGAGGGGGAGAGAGAGACGACCGCGTCGCAAGACGCAGGCGCAGTTTCAGGGATAGGGGAGGGAGGGGGGGAAGAGGGGGAAGGTAACAGCGCAAGGGCGACGGAGAGAGCAGGTATTGGGGAGAAGGCAGGAGCAGCAGAAGAAGCAGGTAGTGATGGTGAAAGGGCTGGGAAGCGGCGGCGGCGGGGAGGTGGTAGAGGTAGATTGCTGTGCTGCGTCTGCAGTGGTGATGCCGGAACGAGGTGTGACAGTGATGATGGGGAGGAGGTGAGTACGGCGAGGGAGGGAGAGGGAGCAGGAGAAGGGGGAGGAGAGGGAGGAGGAGAGGGAGGAGGAGAGGGAGGAGGAGGGGGGAGCAGAAGAGGAGGGGATGGGGAAGGGGGGGTGATTCCAGCAGGGGCGTTAGTTTCCTGGAGCATGCTTGGCGTTGATGCTACTGCTGGTGGTGGTGGTGGTGGTGGTGGTGGTGGTGGTGGTGGTGGTGGTGGTGGTGGTGGTGGTGGTGGTGGCGCCGCTGCTGCTCATACTCATGTTTCCATTTCTGCTGTTGCTTCTGCACCAGCAGCACCAGGAGGAAACGTGAAGGTGGCGGAGCAGCAGCAGCAGCAGCAGCAGCAGCAGCATCACAGGGAACGGAAGCAGGCGCAAGAGCCGAATGTGTCAATGGCCGGGGAGGATCTGCGGGCAGAACTCTCAGACTCACACGGCTCAAAGGTGGCAACACAGCAGCAGCAGCAGCAGCAGCAGCAGCAGCAAGAAGAGTCGGTGTCGATGGCAGGCGAGGACCGCTCCCACATCGTGCTCTCCGACTCAAGGGGTTTCGTGTTTGCAGCAGTGCTGGACGGCTTCGCAGAGAGGCACGCAGTGGACTTCCTGCTCTCGCGCCTCTACCCCGCCCTGTGCCTCCAGCTCGACACGTGCGGCCTGCACTCCCTGCACCCGCAAGCACACACGCAGGAAGGGAGCCATGCAGGGGGGTCGGCAGGAGGAAAATCAGGTGGGCGATCAGGAGAGAGGGAGGAGAGGCCTTGGGGTGATTGTAACGGGAGGGGTGTGCACGCGGGTGGGAGTGATTCTAAGGGAAAGCTGGGACGGATGCTGAGTGCGGTGGGGCGGGTGAGCAATCGAGTGTTCTCACGAGAGCCTAGCCGCGATTGGTCGGAATTTTCTGATGAGGCTCACGGACTGCAGCAAGACGGGTCTTGCGACGGGCCTCAGAGCTGGGGGGGGGGTGAGGCGTCTGGTGAGGTACGGGGAATGCACCAAGAAAGGTGTTCTGACGGCCGCCATTGTGGGCATGAGGGGAGAGGGGCGGATGAGGGCATGCCGGGACATACCTTGGATGAGGCGCTTCAGGTCATGCCGGGCATGCCGGGCATGCCGGGACATACCTTGAATACCTTCATACCGTCTGATTGCTGCTCCGGTGACGAGGCTGGCAATGCTGTGGGTGTTGTTTCTTCTGAGGGGGTGCACGTGGCAGGGCAGGGAGAGGCCTGTAAGGAGGGAGTGGAATGGAGGGAGGGGCGAGGGGAAGAGCAAGGGGAGGGGTACAGAGAAGAGGTGCAACTAGCACAGGAGCAGTCGCAGCAGCAGCAGCAGCAGCAGCAGCAACAGCACCCTTCCCATCCTCCCAAAGTGATTCACGAGCCTCTTAATGATCACAGGAAGCACCGGCTGATCCTAGGCGCTCTAGAGCGCGCCCTAGCCTCTGTGGAATCCGCCTTTCTGACGCACGTAAAAGACGTCTCTAAAGAGCAACCAGAGTATGCGCTAGGAGGGGCGTCGCTAGTGGCTGCTATGGTCACAGGGACTGATATTTATGTGATTAACCTGGGGGATAGCAGGGCGGTGATTCTAAGGGGGGACGAGGTGGGGAGGGGATGGGGAGGGTTGTTGAGAAGAGGGGCTCATGGGAGTGTGAGGGGTGGGAGGATGGAGGGAAGTGGGGGGAGTGGGGGAGGTGGGGGGATTGGGGGAATGGGGGGGAGCAAGGGGAGTGGCGGAAGTGAGAAAGTGGGGGGAGAGGGGGAGCCTGTTGGGGATATTCGGAGATTGAAGAGCATGGGCAGTAGGGGCACTGGGGAGGGGGGAGAGCTTGGAAGGGCAGGGGGAGGAGGAGGCGGTGGAGGAGGGGTAGGAGGCGGAAGGGGGAGGGAAGGGGGAGTGTGGAGGTGGAAGGCGGCGAGACTGACAGTGGATCACAACACGAGCAATGCTGACGTGAGTCCCCCCAATCTCCACTCCCCAATCTCCACTCCCCAATCTCCAGCAACGCTGATGTGAGCCCCACTCTCCTTCTTCCGAGTCTACTCGAAGATACCCTCCCTATCACGCCCATTACCCCCTCTCTCCCCCTCCCCCCTTACCTGTGGCTGTCCCGCCACCCTCCTCCCTGGTGCCCTCCTTCCCTGCAATGCACAGGAGGTGCGGCGAGTGCAGCAGGTGCACTCAGATGCTGACGTCCTTAGGAAGGGCCGCCTCAAGGGCAAGATCAAGCTCACCCGGGCCTTTGGCGCTGCCCCTGTCCCCCCTTGGTTCCCCCTGCAATACGCAGGAGGTGCGGCGAGTGCAACAGGCGTACTCACACAATGACATCCTCAGGAAGGGCAAGGGAAGGTCAAGCTCACCAGGGCCATTGGTGCTACTGCCTACCGAATCCCGCACCTGCTCCCCCCACTTCCTCTCCCTGTACCACACAGGAGGTGCGGCGAGTGCAGCAGGCGCACTCGGATGCTGACATTATGAAGAAGGGCCGGCTCAAGGGCAAGATCAAGCTCACCCGGGCCTTTGGTGCTGCTTACCTTAAGGACGTGAGTGCGTGTTTGTTGCTAGGTGCTTGTCTCGTAGCTGCTGCTTGCGATTCTTGTTCCTTTTCCTCTTTTGTGTTGTCACCGTTCATGTTACGGCATTGTTGTTGCTCGTCAGCATGTCCGTCTGACCTTTGAGTCAACTCTAAAGTCACCTCTTTTTTTCTTTTTTCTTTTTCCAGTTTTGTTTCTTTCGTCGTTCGTGTTTCCTTTTTCCCCTATTGTTGTTGCTCTTCATCACGCTCGCCTGCCGCTGGTTCTATCAAACCCTTCTGGAATTTTTTTTTTTCACAAATTTATTTGACAGCAATCATCCCCTCCCTCTATCCCATCACTATCCAAACCAGCAATCCGTCAACGATGCCCTCCTAGGTATGTTCCGAGTCAAATACCAAGCCTCCACCTCAGGATCGGAACCATACCTCTCCACCTCGCCGTACCTCCGCCACATGCGAATTTCACCGTCGGATCGCCTTCTGATTCTCTCATCCGACGGTCTGTATCAGCACATGCAGACCAGGGATGTGGCCAAGTGCCTCGGCCCCACCCTAGCCAGTTTCTTGCCCCGGCCAGCAGCATCTGGTTCGGCGCATGGAGGTTCGGGAGTGTCAAACCTGACCAGACGGCTGTCCCTTGGGGGGAGCATTCGGTTTGGCAGCAAGAAGTGGATGGGGAAAGGGGTGGGAGAAGAGAGAGGGGGGTGGGGAAGGGATGGTGAAGGAGGTACTGGTGGTAGTGGGCTAGCAGGATCAACCAGTGGAGGAGGAGGGTCAGATTCAGCAGGAGTGGCAGTAGCAGCAGCCGGAGCAGCAGGGGAAACGGGGGGGGCATGGGATCAAAATGGAATTGGCAAGTCAGGCAGCAGCACCAACAGCAGCACGTTGCAAGCCACCAGCCACAGCAGCAGCAATACCATCATCAGCACCGCCAGCTGTACTATCAGCCAGAGTACTAGCAACAGTACAACCAGCAGCAGCAACATCGCTCAGATGCTAGTGAGGGATGCACTCGAGCGAGCAGCGAAGCAAGCAGGCACCGACCCATCCTCCCTCTCCTCCCTCCCCCTCGGCCCGCACCGGCGAAAGATCCACGACGATATCTCAGTTATCGTGCTCCACATACAGCCACCCCCTGTATAGTCACACCCGCCACACCCTTTACAGTCACACCATGTACAGTCACACCCTGTACAGTCACATGTGCATGCGCCTTTGCATCCTGCCCTTTCCAGCACCACCCACGCCCTCCCCCCCACCCATGCCTTACTCAGAATGTTTCACCACGCACACTCTTTTGCATCAGCACCATCTCGCCTACCCCATCACGATATGAGCTCCAGTGGATAGCATCTACAGTACAGCTTAAGAAGTATTAGTGAATATATCAGAATGAATAATGATTAGAATGGGGAGATACAAGGCAATATAGACTAGTGAGCTGTACCCACTAAGGCACAAACATATATAGTCTACAGTAACTGCATAAGTTATGTTTGACACACCCCCTAGACTATATAGGGGCTGTGCCTAATAAGGGAAGAAGCAGCTCAGGGCGGCACTACTAGACCAGCCTCAGAGACAATGGTCTAAAGACCAGTCACAAGGAGTACAGACAACGCAAGAGCAAGACCAGGGTGGCACTACTAGTCCAGCCACTGGGAGGGGCCACAAGGCCAGTCAAGGTAAAATAAAGATACATAGAGGACATTACACAGTCAAGCAAGGCCCTAGCAAGTGAGAGGCTACAGGAACAAGACCTAGCTGTACACAGTGCCGCTGATGATCTTTAGGCGCAAGCGCCTTCGTAAAGATATCAGCTGTGTTGGCACCGGAGGCCAAGTGTACTACGCGCGCCTAGCGGCGCTGCTGAAGCTCACGTAGGAGGAAGTACCGCAGCTGGATGTGCTTCGCTCTGCCCTCAAGTCGAGGCTCCTGGCACAGGAGGATCATGGCCCTGTTGTCAGCGTACAGGACCAGGGCAGAGCTAGGCCGCTCACCTAAGTCAGTGAGCAAGAAGGTCAGCCAGCGGAGCTCCTGTGCCGCCATGGCACCGTCGTAGATCTCGGCCTCACAGCTGGACTGGGCAACAGACGAGGAGCGGGTAGCTCTCCACGAGATGACACCTGAACCAAGGCTGAAGCAGTAGCCCTGTGAGGACCTGAGGGCCTCGGCGTCATCTGCCCAAGAAGCGTCTGCATGTCCAGTAAGCACCACTAGCCTGCGTCCTCCTAGCACTAACCCCATGCCCGATGTACTTGCAAGATAACGCAAAACCCTCTTAGCGGCAGACCGGTGTTGAGGTCGGTGTCTGCCTGTAGCCACAAAGCGAGCCAGGATGCTGAGAGGGTATGCGAGATCTGTGCGCTTGCAATACATCAGGTACATGAGGCAACCCACCAGCTCTGCGTAAGGACCACTAGGCTCTGCCGACTCCTCAGGAATTGGAGCGGAGAGCCTGTGGTCTAGAGGCAGAGGAGTGGGCTGTGCGGAGGAGAACTGAAGGCCGAACCTCTGAAGGACCTGGCGCACCAAGTGTGACTAAGTCAAGGTGATGGTTCACGCTGCTCTGTCTCTGGAGATCTGCAAGCCAATGTAGTGGCGCAGTTCTCCAAGGTCAGTGCAGGTGTGTCTCTTCAGCAACTCTGCCTTCACGGAGGCCAGCACGTCCCTGTCAGCTGTGGCGAAGACCAGGTCGTCTACGTAAACAAGGATGTAGAACAGGGTCTGGCCAGCACGAACGAAGAGCGAGGGGTCTGCAGAGGACGCAAAGAACTGCAGGTCAGCAAGCGTAGCACGCAGCGTGTCGTGCCACTCACGGGGAGCCTGCCGCAGGCCGTAGACGGGGCGCCGCAGAAGCCACTGGGTCCCAGGAGGGAAGGTACCAGTGAAGCCCTGAGGGCGGCGCATGTAGACCTGCTCGTGTAGACTGGCCTGAAGAAACGCAGTGGAGAAGTCGAGGGAGTGTAACTCGTAGTCACGCTGAGCTGCTACGTGTAGCAGCACCCGAAGAGTAGTCATCTTCGGGGTCGGAGCGAAGGTCTGGAAGAAGTCCACCCCCTCACGCTGACTGAAACCTCTAGCCACGTAGCGCGCCTTGAATACAGGCGGCTCTCCAGGAGGGCGCTTCACCTTGAAGAGCCAGCGGCCATCGACTACGTTCACCCCAGGTGGGGGAACTGCGTCGACGTAGGTGCCAGTGGACCTCCAAGATGCCATCTCCTTCTCCATGGTAGCTATCCACTGAGAGGCCCAGGGTCCCGAGACCGCCTCAGCGTAAGTGCGAGGGGTCGGGATGTCGAAAGCGTCGGGGTCACCCTCAGGGACTAGAAGCATAGAGCAGAGATGGGGAGCAGCCTCGGACAGGAAAGCAAGATCGTACTGGCGGTCCTCCAGGACGTCACTGCCGAGGGCAGGAGCACCCCCGACAGACGGAGGACGGGCAGGGTCAGAGACCAGAGCGGTGGCGTAGTCAAGGCGGCGAGTAGAGGCGAAGTTAGCGACCGCAGCGACAAGGGCGTCAAGACTCAAAACCGGAACAGACGGGTCGATAACGAGAGAGGCAAGGACCCGAGGAACAAGAGGACGAGCGGCACGCAGACAGAGGGCGGGGAGCAACGACAAGGGAGGACGGAGGGAGCGACAGGAGAAGGGGAGGACGAGACGCGTGGGAACGAAGCAACATAGGGTGAGAGCGCGAGATAGGGGAGACATGTAGAGCACGGGAGGGACGGTGAGACCAGACGTGAGATGGAGGAGTCGGGTGAGGAGACAGAGGAGGGGACACAAGAGGGGAACGAGGGGGGAAACGGGCCGGAAACGGGCCGGAAACGAGTCCGGAGGAGGGAACACAGGGCTGTAGGCAGGAGGAGGAGGAGGCACAGGCACGGGGTCAGGGGACGGAAGGCCGAGTAGGCGAGGGCGGACACCGGCGGGGACCGCTGCGGCGGTGGTGTGACACCGACACCGGGACCGCAAGCTGCCTGGCGGCTACCTCCGGAACACTCCATGCCAGCACCCCCAGAAGACACACCCCCAGAGCTCAGAACCCCTCGAGCACCGGTACCACCCCTAGGCCTACCGGGACAAGCCACGACAGGAGTCCCAAGACGAGTACCCATCCCAACTCCAGCACCCCCAGAGGCGACAAACGGCTGCGGCGACGGCTGCGGCGGCGGCGGCGGCTGCAACGACGGCGGCGGCGGTGACGACGGCTGCGACAGCTGTGGCGATGGCGGCTGCGGAGGCGGCGGAGGAGGGGACACCTGAGAAGGGGCAGGCGGCGAGGACTGCGCCGCAGGAGCACCAGAGTCAGCAGACTCCTCAACCGGGACAACCGACGGTAGTGGGGTGACGTGGGACACACCAGAGGGGGCAGGTCGGGGAGGGGTAGGAGGAGGGGCGGCGACGACCAGGGAAGGGGTGACCAGGAACAGGGGGGGGGGTAAAAGGGGGACCGCGGTGGGGGAAGCGGCGGAAGAAGGAGACGGACTCGTCAAAGGTGACGTCACGGGAGTGAAAGAACCGGTGAGACGGCGGGTGGTAGAAGTGCCAGTCAGACGCGTCAAGGGGGAAGCCGAGGAAGACACAAGGAAGGGTGCGGGCAGTGAGCTTGTCCGTGCCAGTGGCACGAACGTGAGCAAGGCAACCCCAGACATGAAACACAGACGCGTCACCAGGGGACCCAGACCAAAGAAGGGTCAGCGAAACCTGAGGCTGCTGGGGGTGCGGCCACAGGTTAAGCTGGTGAGTGGCGTAGCGAACGGCGTACGGCCACAGAAAATGGGGTGCACCGGCATGGATCATGGAGGTGCGAGCCACCTCCATGACCAAACCGATGCGTCGCTCAGCGACCCCATTCTGTTACGGGGAGTCCAGCAAGGTGAACGTCTGGGTGATGCCCTCCGCACGACAGAAACAACCAAGGACAACAGAGGCAAACTCGCCACCACGGTCGGAGTGGAGGCGCAAGATAGGGAGACCACAACGGACACGCGTAGCGACAACCCAAGGGATAAGAACGGCAGGCACGTCGGCCTTCCGCTCTAGGGGGAACACAGTGGTGTAGCACGTGTAGTCGTCGACAAGCACTAGGAAGTAGCGCTCTCGACGCGGCCCATGGATGGGGGCGGGGCCCCAGACGTCCATGTGCAGAGTCTGCAGCGGTGCTGCGGTAGGGGGAAACGAGGAGGAGTGAGGGGCACGGCGGAGCCGGCTCTCGACACAGGGCGTGCAAGGTGGGGCTGGGGAGGAGGGAAACTCGAGGAACGATCCGGGGAGGCCTAGGACGAGACCGTGCTGTGACATGTGACGCAGACGCGGGAGCGCAGTGTGACCTAGGCGGTGGTGCCAGAGTAGGGTCGGGTGGGTGAGAGACCGACAGGAGCAGGCAGCAGCAACCGGAGGAGACACAGCCACATGAGGGGGGGTCCCAGCCGGGGGGGTCACCGTGTCCAGTGTGAAAAGACCGGACACCGGGTCCCGTGGGAACGTGGACAGGGGGGCACCAGTGGCGGCCTCGGTACAGACAGCGTACCGCTCGTGTCCAGGGAACGTAGTGGTGCTGCCAAGGTCCTAAAGGCAGCCGACACCAACTAGGTTCCTAGAGAACGAGGGGATGTGCAAACCTGTGAGCGAGCCCGAAGGAACCGCCGGGCAAGAGAGGGTGGTGGAACTGCGGGCGACTACAGGGCCGGAGGAGGGGTCAGCAAGAGAGATTGCGGCAGGGACAGAAAGCGGGGTCAAAGTGGTGGAGTCGCGGAAGAAGCACAAGAAGCGCCAGAGTCGAGGGTTAAGGAGAGCGCGGTAGTGGTGGCCGGAGGCGAAGCAGCTACGGAAGCACCAAGGCTAAACAAAGCAGGGGATCCTACGCCTGACGCAGCAGGGGAGTCTAAGCAAGGCACACCTACACTAGGCAACAAGGGGTAATAAGACGGAAGCACACTAGAGTCATCAGCATACATTACATGCAGAGCAGTAACAATCTCATCCATATCCAGATCAAAAATCTGAACCCTACGACGAAGCAAGCTGTGCTAGTCTGGGAGTCTAAGCAAGGCACACCTACACTAGGCAACAAGGGGTAATAAGACGGAAGCACACTAGAGTCATCAGCATACATCACATGCAGAGCAGTAACAATCTCATCCATATCCAGATCAAAAATCTGAACCCTACGACAAAGCAAGCTGTGCCAGTCTGGGAGCTCAGGCGACGAGCTGAAGCGCTGACGAAACAGGTCGTCCAATCGACGGAAACATCGGACGGAGGTGTGACCGATCTTACCGCAAACGAAGCCACGACGAGGACCGGTCTGAAGCAGGTACTGATTACACGCGTCACCCGAACCACCACCCGGCAGCCCACCACGCGCACCACCACCACGGCCAGCTAGGGGCGGGTGCGAATGGCCAGGGGGCCGGCTAGGGGTGAGCGCGACGGCCAGGGGGCCAGCTAGGGGCGGGCGCGACGGCCAGGGGGCCGGCTAGAAGCGGGCGCGACGGCCAGGGGGCCAGCCAGGGGCGGGCGCGACGGC